TTGTTGTGGTGATTGGGGTATCACACCATAAGCCTACCAAGGGATTTTCGAGAAAAATCTTCCCTTTCGAGCAATCGTTACCTATATTTACCACCAGTATAAAAATGACTGAAAATTATAGAAAGGTGGAGCTATTATTAAACGGGACCTCCGGTCCCCTCTAACCTCGATGGGGTGTGAATAAGGGATACACCATGCCTATGTGTAATCCAAGGGATTTTTAGGAACAATCTGTCGTTTTCGAACGATATTGTTTCCCAATTCCTCTCCTTATTGTTTCCCAACTCCTCTAATATTATCCCTACCCCTCCCCCATCTCCTTCCCCGCCATCCGCACTTTTAGATGTGTATAAGAGACAGGTATTATTATATAGGCCTATATAATGTGAAAACAAGGCCGCACACACAGTGAAGTAAATAGTGAAATCTGCAGTCCAACGCGATCGTATCTTATCTTATTGTTGGCTGGAATTGTGGGCTGGCTTTTTGTTGGCTGGCAGATTGTTGGCTAGCTTGATGTAGCTCTGTTTTGGTCAGGTGACCAAATACAATTGATCACATGACTATCTGCTCACATGAGAGGCCAGGCGCTGTGGGGGAGTTTCTAGATTTATTGTTGTAGTAAACTCACTAGTGCTGGAAGGTTTGTGAATATCTTTCTACAGAATTTGTATAACTTTTTGATTAGTAAATCATTAATAATATAGGTGCAGTAATGTTCTTGAAGTATCTGGCATTGTTTTGGAGTACAAATACCTAGCCTATGCTTGACTGTTTATTTTAGATAGGCGAGTTAGACTTGGCTAGACAAGAAGTAGCTAGCCCAGGTAGTGAGTACTGTAGGTCCAAGAGAGAGGAAATGTCTAGGCCTGATATAGACAAGCAGGCATAAATAGAAAGAAGAAATAGAGGGAGTTTGTCCATTCTTTTACACAGCTACAGTACCACTGTCAGGCCTGTTAAGCCTACTAATACTATTCTAGGTTAGGTTAGTCCAGTTCGCAGAAGCATCTGTGTGGATGGGATACTGTTTTTATTTTATACTTTTTTGTTATTGTTGGGTTCCTTGGCATATTCTTCGCAACACACTGATAAGAGGTGCTTCCATGTTAGGAAGCACCTCTTACAACACAGCGTCACTAAAAGGCGGTCGCACACTGCTGCAGCAAGAGTCGTCAGCTGATACAATTCCATGCAAGGCAGCCTGATGAGGCACGTGCAGGGAATAATTTCTAACGATGACAACTCAGTCTGCAACTGGGCAGATGGTTTTGCGCTGTCAAGGCCCCATTAGAAGCAAAGATGTTTTTGTCGACACTCATACGACTGTTAGTCAGTGTGCTGTGGTCCTAATATTTACATAATCCTTGGTGTCTACAGTTCCAAAATAGGTTATTCTCAATTTTTGCAAATTGTGCAAGAATTTCTTTGCTCAATTTGCGCAGGGAAAGTTTGCACACTTCTGTCAGATGTGGAAGCTGTAAGGAATGTGGGGATAAGAGATGGGAATTTTCTTTAGAAGGGGGGGGGGGGAGATTTGTTTTGTAGCTTTTAATTAACTTTACTAAGATGAGTGATTTTTATATAAATACATTTTGAGTTAGCCAGTATAAAGTTTCATTGAGTGGTATTTATACATTTGAAATATTTTAACCAATTATAGTAGGCCAAAGGCTACTTCTTTGTTCTGGAAATAAAATGTCTCATACTCAGATCTCAGCCTATTGTGAATTTCCACAAACATGATGCATATAACCATATAAGTTAATATCAGTGTCAATAAGTAAAATTTAAGGTGTCAAATTTACCACAAATAATTTTTGCTGAGTTTGCAAGGTCTTATTTTAGACTCTTCCTTGGGGAAAAATATTAATTAATTACAGTAATATTAATTATTAATATGTGTATTTAAAAATTAAATAGAAAAGAATAAGCCGACCCTAGATTTTTTTATATTTTGGATTGAAATATAAAAAAAATGTGTTTTGTAGCTTCAATCAGTGGGAGTGCCAGCATCTGAAATCTGGGAGGAGGAAGCCAAGTGAGGGGAAAGGTAAAATTTTAGGGGGAAATATGTTTTCTATAGCAGACCAGAGATACAATTATAATTTATAAAATCACATCATTTATGGGTAGCGCTTCTAATGTGCTTGTTTAAATGCATTGTTTTTAAAGTATCTGTGCCTTGAAATGACAGACAGATCGATCGAAGCAACTAATTTTGTTGGCCAGTCTTATAATTTTCATTTTGCCAGAAAAAAACTTAGGTGGGTGGGGGGGGGGGGGGGTGGTGGTAAGAAAATTATCTGTGAGGAATTTCTCCCCCACCCTTACCCCAGTAGCACTTCCACTGTAATCAATAACTGAAAACAATAATGTCAATAACAATTTTTTTAAAGATTTTGACAAAACAGTGAAAGTACAATTTTAGTTGTTCAGTTGATTAGTGAAAATAGTTTTTCTTTCTAGACCTTGTGCACATCACCATGAAAAACCTAGCATTATGTTGCTTCATTATCTCTGGAATGATCATGGTTTCCATGGCTGCAACAAACCCAGATGAAGTACTCAACTTACCAGGCTTACTGAAGCAACCATCTTTTCCACATTACTCTGGTTACCTCAAAGCAACTGGAACAAAACAACTACACTACTGGTAACACTCATTTGTTCTACTTTACAAAATATCAATTATAATAATTATTTTATATGGATCTGATGAAAAAATACAGTAGGCTACAATCACCTTTACTTTTACATGGTTTCATCTTGCAAAAGACTAATAAGTCCGTCATTGCAAGGTTTCAAATGTCTGTGCTGTAGGAAAATTCCAGATATTTGCTTTCTGTCCCAATTAGTTAAAACTAGACCATTTTGATTGTGTGTGTATGTGTAGATGATATCTACTGTATTGCTTAAGAAAAACAAATAAAACAAAATAAAATAATAATGAAAATACAAGTAAAAATAGTAATGAAAATAATGACTACTATTTTTTTTCACCTATTTTTCTCTTTTCTTTTTCATTTTCCATTCACTTTTTACATTTAATATCATCCTTAATATTCTCCTTTCCTTCATTCTCTCGTTTTCTTCAATTCTATACTTACATTGTTTCCATTTGTTTCTTTCTTTCCTTTATTTCATTCTCTTTTCTTGCTTTTCTATTCTTCCTCTTTCTAACTTTTTTTCTATCACCACCAATTCTTTCTGCATTTACCTAATCAGAATTCAAACTTCACCTATGGAGGTCCAACTTATTTCTCCATGCTCCTACTAGTGGTGTATCTAGGGGTTGACAGGGTGTGGGCGCACTCCCGCAGGAAAGTTTTTGTCTTTTTAGAAGGAAAACAAATATGCTCAAGATATTGTTTTACTGTTAAATCTGAACCTCTTGGGACACCAGTACATTTGTAGTATTGGAAGAGTATTTCCAGAATAATGGAAGATTTGAATTTCACTCCACCCTCAACTCACTTCATCATTGAGCATTTCATTTTGTGCCCCACACCTATCAGCTCCTTGACTCCTAAATATGCCACTGGCTCCTACCAAATACCAATATTCCTGTTACATGTGACAAGTGGCGTATCTAAAGGGTGCGCAGGGGAGCACGCCCCTCCAAAAATTACTTGCTGCTGTGCTTGTGTTTTCAGCTGGAGGGCTGAAACGCGAATTTCAAAAGCGCATCATCTTTCGGTTGAGATGTGTAAGCTGTTGGTCCTGTGTACAAAATCGCCCATGTGCACACAGAAAAAACTGTAGGGGATTGTCTCCCGGTGTACTGCCCAATCACTACCAGAAGGACCCAACTGGAAATAAGTCTTCTTCAGACTTTCGTGGGGTATATTTGGTGTTCACACCAAATTAATCCGTCCAGCCATCCTTTAATGAATATTCATGAGCTAGCTTGCTTCTTTTTTTTTTTTGCAGGCTGATAACCTCAACACATAAGATTACTGATCCACTCGTAGTGTTCATTTATGGTGGACCAGGATGTAGTTCTTTGTACAGTTTATTTGCTGAGAACGGACCATTCACGGTACAATCTAATGGAGTGAATCTTGACTACAATGAATATAGCTGGAACTCTGTATGTATCTATATATGAATTACTAGGTCTCAGGCGGGCAAAGTACAGCCCGACAGTGATTTTTTTGCGGTCCACAAAAATTAATTAAATCCATAATATGCGTGGGGGCTGCCAACCCTCTTTGGCTAGAAAACAACTTGTTTTTTATGGCCCGACACCGATTATCTGTAAAATGTAATATTAAAACTTAAAACATAAAGCAGTATAAAACCAGTGTATGAAGGTTTTTTGGAGGCACACTGGGAACATCAAAGTTTAGGTGTGGTCTTTAGTGTTAAATGAAAAATTCACTTAAGGTCTACCAACCCATTTTTATACCCACCCTTGCTCTCTAGGTCTTTGCTCTTTTTAAGTTTCTGTTTTCATGAATTTTTGAATTATAAATTGTTCAACATTCTTTGTAATGTATGATGTTATTAATGTTTAGTCTCCAATTTGACTGAGTGGCATTGTGTTGAAAAACCAAAGATAGTTTCATTAATGGGAAATCAAAATGTTTCTGTTTTGACATACAAAACTGATATAACATAATTTTTATATTGTCTTTCCTAGTTTGCCAATGTCCTTTATCTTGAGTCACCAGCCGGAGTGGGATTTTCATATTCAGAAGACAAAAACTACAAGACGGATGATGACCAGGTATGTAACATTTACCAATTCCGTCTGTGGCTGAGCCAGAATTTTTGTTGCCTGAGTGTAGACCAGTTGGCAGTCAAAGGGGGCTGAAGTTATGAGTTTCGAGAGGTTATGAAGCCTGGAAACTTTTGAGGTTTAGCCATTTTATTCTCTTATCTAAATGATTTGAGACTTGGTTAGTGAATTTTTGGCTGCTGTCGGTGGTGAACGCCCCTTTTGCTACACCCTGGATCTGCCACTGTCCTAACAGTTTACATACGAATAACATATGCAGCTTATGTTTCGCTACCCTAGTTCCTTAGGTATAATCCCAACTCGGGTATAAGCCCAACCCCTACTTTACGCCTAATTTTATGTACTGGTACTGATATACTGTTATTGGCATTTATAATGCACCTCTTCCTTGAGGTTATAAAGCGCAATTCTTTTCCTGGTCATTGGGTCCACGTGCTTTAAGTGTTGCTGCTGGTAATCAGCGCAGGCAACCCCACCAGGTACCCAGTTATACTCCTGGCTGGAGAGAAGCAATGCAGATAAGTGCATTGCTCAGCGAGGGATTGAAACCCCGACTGCAATGTTGGGAAACATCTGGTCTGGTCTTTCTTCGTTAAATCGCGCCCACCTGCACGGTGGTATAATCCTACTTAACGAAGACGACCAGTCAAATAGAAAACTATTAAATACTCAACAAAACAAAATAGCTGCATTGTTACTGCGATACATGCTGAATTGGGGTTGCTTCATCTTGTGGCAGTATGGGTTTTTCGTAAAAAAAAAAATTTCATCCAGTTTTTTAATTCTGTTAGCCTACAATTATTTTTTTACTCCATTTAGGTAAATATAATTTTTATTTTCTGAAATTTAGTCTAAATTATATTAACACAAATGTTGTTGCTAAACTGGCCAACCGGCCATGTTTGTTTTGGTCACATGGATAACTTAACACTGATTAATGCACTATGGTTTACATTAATTTTCGTTGTCAATGAAGTCTGTTTTACGAACCGGTCAAATGAAAATAATACGCAATCGTTGAAAAATCGTAGTTAAACAAAATGAACCAGTCGATAAGCCCATTGTATCTATTTTGTTTTCCTTAGATCACAGAAGATCACTACGCTGCTCTGAAGTCGTTCTTTGTTAAATATCCAGCCCTTCAGCCTCTTCCATTGTATCTGATGGGTGAGAGTTACGCTTCTGTTTATGTCTCCTTATTGGCAATGAAAATGATTAATGCAGCAGAAGGTTATGATGCAAGCCTGAAAGTGAGTCTAAGTGTTGTTTGATAGTTTATATATATCAAGCTGACAAAAATCATTTGATCACTTTAGAGGGGAAAAAATGGGTATCAAATAGATTGAAATCAACCTAGCTAGGCCATTATGGCGGCACTGTAGGTCTCCATTGGCCTCCTTGTCTGGTGCAGGTTTATCTTTCTTAGATGTTTTGTAGGCAACACCCATCTAGAACGTAGGCAAACTGTTGCTTGCATTTTATAGTTACAGGTAAAATAACCCCACCTTACCTTAATTTGAAATAATTGTGAAAGGGATTTGCTATTAAGTTGTGGCAAAGACAAGTTAAAACCAGTCACTCCTTGCAAAAAAAATTTAAAAATTCTTTTTATACCGATATTCGGTGGGAATTCCCAGAAAGGTAAGGCTATAACATTGTCTACTCGGTGAAAATTTCAATTACAACACACATTTTTTGCATTAAAAACATTTATACTCCCTGGAAAATGGACGGTTCTAAGTCGCCCACAATGCATACAATTGGCTCTGCAAATAATTTGAGATTCTGTTCCCCGACATTATCTTTGGTGTTTGTAACTGCCTGGTTATAATTAACTCATGAAATACCGTAAAGCAGATTTGTTGTTAACGTCACAAGTTTAAATGCAGTCTAAAGCTCATAATTTTCTTTTTTTTTTTCTTACGTACAGAGGGGACACCACCTCCCAAAGCCACCCCCCTCGGCTGTTGCTACGTAACAAGTTCTTCGTCTTCCATTTTATGCGGCCTATTTTGTTGTTACTGTACAACCTATGTTACAGTATTTTAGAAGAAATGCTGGAGCAACATCATAAATTAACTTTAATTTATGAAATATTGATTAAAATCAATAATAAAAACTAAGTTTTCTTGTTATACGTTGTTATTGCTGGTGCATCTATGTGAAAATATGAAATTATATTTAATAGAAAGGTCTGTTACAAAGATTAATTTAAAACCATATGTAGTGCCGTAAATGCTCAGATAAGCGCCGCAGCGCTTACAACATTTTTGGAGACTTCAGTGAGGCGCTCATTTAAGAACGGTGCATATTTTATACAAAAATATTGCTGTGGTACTTTCCATGTCCGTTCCCATGTTGCTTATCTCACGTATTCCAATAGTTCAGTAGGCCTGTCATAGGTCTTACGTCATCATATATAAACGTTTATAAAGAAAAATGTGGTGTGGCATTTATTCAAAAGCAGCGTTTATTTCGAGAGCGGCAGTTATTCGAGAGTCTATGGTACTTAAACTTTTTACATACCTGACATTTATATCTCTATTTATAAGTTATTTAATAACTGTCATTTATTTCAAGGGTATTGCTACTGGAAATGGGTTCAACAGTGTACAGAAAAATGTGGATTCCATTGTTCCATTTATATATTATCATGGACTCATTGGCAATGAGTAAGTCTATTGATTTTGTATTCTACATTTATAAGGTAATTACAGTTCGCTCCTTCAGTTCGAGACTACCTTTTGGACCTGTATTTGTGTATTTGTTTACATATCTTTTGACAGCATGTTAAGTGACATCGAGTCTTGAGTTTGGTGCAGATTTGACCTCCATTTAAGCCGGTTACACACTACATCGTACGATGGTCATACAAAGTCGGCCAACAAATTAACCTTTACTCTGTGTTATTATTTGACGATGCGACATTGTCTGGCGACTCTCAATGGCTGACTAAGCGGATTTTTTTAAAAAAAATTAATAATCAGTCCAATTGATATGCCTCATCGCACACTCCCTGGAATGTCCTTAGCCAATGACCATTAGTGCAGTATGCTTGGCTTTACAGTTTAGTTGGCAGAATTATGTCAGGTTTAAGGACTATAAAAACATAGACCATACAATATATCATACTGTAAATCCTCGAATTGAAGCCCTGGACTTTTTGTGAACTTTGGATGGGCTTCTTTTCAAGATGGGCTTCTTTTCAAGGCTACTTTTGCAAAGTAAAGTTTGGGCCTCTTTTGAAAATGAATGCTGTAAATTTTGGGAATTACTACTATAAAACAATAAATAGGGCCATTGTACAGTAGCATCAATATGTGTCATGGAGTGTATTAACCGGCATTAAATTATCTAAACTACTCTATTAAAGTATGTTTTATTTATTTATTTATTTTTTTTTTTGGTTTCCTTGAAATTCATATACAGTGTATACTGTACTGTCTCGAAAAATGCTATCTTTAAAAGAAGCCCATGGATTCTATTTTGCGATATACTTGTTTCGAGGCTGCAATACTGTATATCTATTGGTCTATAATCTGTCTCTTATACACATCTAGATGTGTATGGTTTTAAACTTTTAGCTTTGTTTAAACTTACAGTATGTGGTCAGTGCTTCAAGAGCAGTGCTGTAAAGACTCCCAGTGTTCTTACTACAACTCCACCAATGACAACTGCACAGATACTGTAAGAATTATTTTACACACAAGTTTTACAATCAATGTTTGACCTCAGGATTATATACCCAAACACAATAGAGATCATTGTTGCCTGATATATAAATTAGTTGGCTATAAATTATTAGTGATTTTTTTTTTATTATTCAAGTAATAATATTGATGTTCTGTTAGCTATTATCTGCTGTGTATTCCTTAGGTTACAGTATTTTATTTCATTCTATTCAAGGAAGAATTTGAAAGAAAACTTTCAGCTTATATCTTTTGCTATCATTACTATTTTTTATTGGTGTATATAATGTCTTAGTACTTTTAATTGATTTAATAATGATGTCACTAAACAGAATTGAATTCAAAATAAATAGCATTTAATTAGAATCACATAGTCACCAACCGTCTCGCATCGTGCAGGACGGTCCCGCATTTTAAAGTGATATTGGATGAAATACGCATTTTGCAGAAACACATGTGTGATCATAAATTTGTCATGCATTTAGCACAAGTCTATGCGTGATAACGAATTACCACAAATTAAGGGGAAAATGTATTTATAATTAGATGAAATTGGTTTGATTAAAAAATATAAAAACGGTCATGTAGTAACTTGAGCCATTAGAAGGCTTTCCTTATCTCGTTCAAAAATCAATTCACGAGAAAATTTCTCTTTCCCGACCAAAACAACTCATCCAACGATGCACTTAGTGGAATCAACGATTGATTATGTTACTGAAACCCGTACCCCAACTGTATAGTCACGCATTTCACATCTCTCAAGTTGGTAAAAGAGTCTGTATTTGTATACTGATGCTTTCTTCTAAAATTAACATCTTAAATATATAAATTAAAGAAATTTAAATCAGTAAATCTATTTTAATGTTCATATTACAGTACAGTACTTAAATGCATTCCATAACTTACAGTAACAGTGTGCTTATAGTAAATTGATACTTGCACTAATTTTATGCTCATATGCATATCATCAGGTGAATGGAATTTATCAAATGGTTACTGACATTGGACTGAACACCTATAACCTGAATGCAGATTGTGTAGACAGTAGTAGTATGAAGAAATACACAGGCAGAAACAAGTACAGTAAAAAGAAGTACGCAATGGACATTACTAAGGTAAAGAAGAGGGCAGTATTGCTACATACACTTATTTCGATTTCAGAGTGTCACTGTCCCACAAAAACTCAACAGCTAAATATTTTATGGAAAAATTACAATCTTGGAATAGGCCTTGTTTGGGCACAGGTGGCAAAGTACGTCAGCGTTTTTTTTGCGGCCCACCAATCAAAAATGGTTAGAAAACCCCTTGTTTTTTACAGCCCGACACCAATCATATGTAAAAAGTAAAATTAAAACCGAGAATAAAGTGATATAAAAGCAGTGCTTGGAAGTTTTTAGAAGCTCACTGGAAACATCAAAGTTTGGGTGCGGCTCTTAGTGTTAAATCAAAAATTCACGTAGGCCCCACTGACCAATTTTTAGGCCCACCCCTGCTTTAGGGTATAAGAAATGAAAATATTGTAATGTTTCACTTTATAAATATTCATTTATTTCTCTCACAGTTATGGGATCTATCCGAAAGTGGCAATGAACTGCCTTGCGTTAACACCTCCGCTATAACGAAGTATCTGAATGACCCGTATGTTCGGCAAGCACTGCATATTGAGAGCACGGTGCCCGCATGGACTGTCTGCAATAGTCAGATACATGACTCATATGTGATGAAGTATCCGGACTTAACAGATATCTACAAGAAACTGTTAGCTCTTTATGTAAGAAACAATGACAATTGTAGTATAATGATAAATATAGAAATGACACAAAAGGGGCCCCAGACACCTCATACATTTTTTTGAAAAAAGGTGGGGTGGGTGGGAAAATACATTTAAATTCTGAGAGTGCATTTTCTGGTAATTTAAACATTTCTGCCAAATGTGCCAGCAGACGTAATGGGCAAAAGTAAGTAAACAAACGTACCAGAGCTATAAAATTTCGTACCACTTCTGCACCCTTGATCTCAAATAAATCCCCCCCCCCTCTTTCCTTAAGCCACTGGGGTGGAGGAATGGTAGGAATAGGGACAGCAGCAACAATGATGAATAACTACAGTATTAGAAATCTTGATACTGAGTTTATTGTAGGAGTAAGAGGATACATTGTTTAAATAATACAATACTGTATATCTATTGGTCTATAATGGTCCAATTTTAACAAGGAATAATTTTTTTTTTTTTTAAAGGAATTCAAATTACTGTTTTACAATGGTGATGTTGACCTGACATGCAATGCCCTCGGTAACGAATGGTTTGTGAAAGATCTCGGAAAAGAAGTATCCGTCCAATGGCGTCCATGGCTGTACAACAATGGTTACGATCAGATTGCCGGTTTTGTTCAAGAATATGAGGACCACCTAGCATTTGTTACAATAAAGGCAAGTTGAAACTAAATTGCTAAGCTGATAATATAGATATTTATATTGTTTCATATAATTACCGTACTATTAGTATTACAATATCTTACATGACCATCAGGGGCGGATCCAAACACTTGCAGGAGGTGGGTGTCCAGAAAAAAAAATGGCATGCACTCGGGTACACTGTTTCAAACGTCGTGCAAAACATCGAGATGACCATTTTCTTTGATTTTTTCCGAACCCTATTCTGTCAGGTCGCTCTCCCATCTTTTGAGAGACTTTTGTAAACTGTAATGCAACTTAAAATTCAAAAATATTACAGTACATTTATTTTTATAAATTTACTCCCAAATGAACAAAACTTTAGTAGAAGACATACCTTCAATACATAAGCACAGCCAAATTATTAATGTACCTGTACAGTATCGTATTTTTCTGGATCCAGAAATTTAAAATAGAGGGGGCCCAGGGAAAATTTTAGTATCAACTACAACTTCTTGTTTTCTAATGCCATCACACTGTGCTGTTATTGTATTCATTTTGTATTTAAATCAATATACAAATACAGTTGCTTTACCGTATGTTCATTAGAATTTATCCAGTAATCACGCTTAAGCCGGGCACTGCCGTCTGCTGGTTGTCGGTTGCAGTCTGAACGGATCGTCATTAAAAACGATCTGTTGCGCATCGTTTTCGGCCGTACTGAGTGTCCGGCTTAAGAAACACAGACAGTAATAAATGTATAACATAATTTGCTACCAAACATTTTCTGAATTTTCTACCAGTGGGATGTTTTTTGTTCACTATTTCTTCATCTTGGTTATTACTTTACAGGGAGCTGGTCACATGGCACCTCACGATAATCGAAACGCTGCACATCAACTCATCTTCAACTTTATGTACAACCGGCCATACTAGAGATAGTTACTGTTAACTGTACTTTGAGAACAAAAGAACCTTAATTGTTTCATGAGAACATTACATTGAGAATATTATGTTAATGTATTAATGGTGGTGGTGATTTTCAGGACTGGTGGACCAAAAAGTTCATGGAAATTTTAATATGTAAAGTATTATGTTCATGCAATAATGCAATTTTCAGGGCTAGTTGAATAAGAAGGTCACAGTTCACGTAATAATTTAAATAATTTTTTTGTAGTTGATTTAACTTCAACTTGTTGATATATTGAAAGTTCTAGCCACCAAAGGAATTTACATAAACAGCACATTCCATTTGTGTAGGTGGCTCTACAGCAACCAGTACCTGTAAACAAAGAGTATAAATAGAACAAGAGGGCATACTCACATTTGTAAGTTGGATGCCCACTGTCACCGCGCACGGTTTGTTTGTGTATCTGTTTTCCACATGATACAATACTTTCATAGAAGGGCGGTAGATTTCCTTATTTCTCTTAATCGTCATACTATTGTGCGCGGGTAATAAAGTGGATACAAACAGCAAGGGGCATCCTACACTGGCTGCGTATTGTGTATCCTTTTTTACACTCTGAATGAGCATAGTTGGCTCTCTTGTTCTATTAATACTCTTTGAACAGTGTGTATTTTTCTAATAATTATTGTATATCACTTATTGAATTTGAGATTTTGTATTCAAACAAAAAAAGTAATTATTTTTGTGTGTGTTTAGTTTAATATTGTTCTTAGTATTTCTGAAATTGTGTTTGTACACCACTAAATTAGATGGTCAAAAAGAAGTATTTAGTAATTATATGTAATATATTGAAAATATAATTTTTAGATGAAGCATTTACTTTTGGTTTTTATTGAAGTATTATACTTCATACAGGTAGTCTAATATTTTTTAAGGAAATATTTCTCATTTTTGTTAGCAAATTATATGAATTCGTTATGTTGCCGTACAGACCGCGGCTTCAGAATGCCGACATATTGAAAACTTAAATACAAAAATGATTTGATTGTATAAGGAATATACATTTTTAAGTCTATAAAAGATTGAGTAACAGTGCTATGGTCTTGAAGTTAAGAAACATCATTGATCCAATTTCTGAAAATAAATGAAAACATGACACCAATAATCTTATAGTTTGCATCCAGTACACCTAATAATAATAATGGAAACAGATGTTTATAGATGGTCTAAGTGCATTATAATAATTGATGCAGTGAAGTAGGAAATTTATTACAAAAACAAGTAACATTATATTGTATAGTAATTGCTTAGTATCATTGAACTATAACATAGCTAATGCATCAACATTTAAGTGATTGAAACTCGGTTAAGGCAGATAATTGATGACTCAATATCAAAACTTACCATGTCTTTCTTTTTTTTGTCCTCAAAATGACATTTCTGCACTGACTGTAAAATAAATTATGAATAACCTTTAAGAGTATGTACACCGTAATTTCTTATTAAAAATTATTTAATATCAAACAAATGGTTGCTTTGCTATATGTATCTGCAGTATAAAATGCACTATGTTGATATATTTATTGCATCAGCAGGTGCCTGCTTCAGTTCTGTTAACAAATTTAGTTTTATAACGTGTGGTGTGTCAGCAAGGGCTTTCTAAAATGTCCCATAGATCACCAGCCCTTTTACCCAGTTATTAAAGATCAGCAAACGTTTCTCTTGTTTTGAACTTTACATATTCACTAAATAACAACAAATTAATTTGTTCAAGAGCTAATTGAATACCTGCTGACAAATCAAGTGGCTCTGTAGTTCTACCACATCTATGGCGCCACAACTGGCCAGTCTTTTTTCCTTCATTATCATCATTGTTCTCCTTAGGTTCTATAGTATCAAGACTGACATCTCCAAATTGCGTTGATACATATCCTGGGCTGAACCTAAAATATAAAGCAGGAGAGTTTGTGATTATCATTGAAGATACATTACCGCCATCAAAATAATCATCAATTTCATAAAAATTATAACAGCCACGAGTACAAATCATATAGGGAAATATTTTTTGGTATTCTTTGCATAAAATTAACCTGTCTACAATCATGCATAGGACAAGCTGCTGGTATATTAAAATACGACAGCTAACTAGCAGAAGTAGTAGGCCTACAAAAAAACATTACTGTACCAACTATTCAAATTAACAAGTTCATAAATTTACCACCAAAGATTTAAAAATCCTTTTCCATGACATGCCATTTGTATTCACCATTATAATTTTAACTTATTAAAAGAAATTCATTTAGAAACACACTAATTATATAAATTAGTATAGTAAACTAATAGCAAACTTTGAAAACAGGATCTATTAAAAATAGTAATAAGTACCTCAAATATAATTCATCAAGGTTTGTATTGTTAATATCTAGATCCAGTTGGTGTTCACTTGGCTTCTCAATCCCATCTGCCAGTTGTTTTGGGTAATGAATGTGTCCAGTTGCTTGAGAAGCCTGACCACGCACTGGCAGGGCCAAATCTGTGCCATCCTCAGGATCTACTTTTCTAGAACGACTGAAGTTGGTTTCTGAGGTTCCTGGCAATGATTCGCTTTCTTTTACACTTGGGTCATTACTTGCATTTGGGTTCTGCTCATCTTCTGAATAGCAGTTGAAGAATTCAAACAAACTTTCTCTTTCCTCTGGATTATTTAAATCACTTTCTCCAAATCTTCCAGACTGCTCAGGGTTATTAAGCATCTTCATAGGAAGATCGTCATGTGATTTGGAGCAAATATCTGAAGTACATGTTTCAAGAACCTCGCACAACACATCAACAACGTTTGACATTGAGATATTTTTTGGTGTGACAAACAGCTTCACTGGATGCTCTGACGTGTGGTCCGTTCCATCAGCTAGAACAAAGAAAAATGTCTTCTGGATTGATGATGTTGACATGTTGTGCTGAGCCTCATGATTACCATCGTTAAAGTTAAACTCAAGTAATGAATCTTCATTATTTGACACATGTTCCTTAGGCTGTTGAGAATGTGTATTCTCTGGTACATTCTGTTCTCGAAGATCAACATTCCCAGATACCTTGATTGTCGCATTACCTAATCTTTCATTTTGTGACATTATGCTATCAGCCCAGGTCTTTCTAAAAATCCTGGTGGATTTACTGCTCTCAGAACTTCTTACACTGTCTGCCAATTCTCCATAACATTTATTTGAATCCTCTTTGTATCTTTTCAATAGTGAAGGAGAATTTGCAATACGTGATGAGTCACTGCTTTTATAAAGAACATTCTGACTGGTAGCATTAGGTGACGAGTCACTGCTTTCATTCAGAAAATTCTGACTGGCACTATCTAATTGAGAGAGTAATTGACTGACCACGCTTCCTCCTTGAGTAGCTTGTGATGACATCGATGAGCCTAAGCAAAGGAAATTGAATATTTGGCTTTCTCCCACATATTCTGACTGGTCATTGTACTTATCATCACTGCTCCATAACTTGTCCAAGACAGATAGCAACCAGGTCTCTGAAGGTGCACTTTGGGAACATTTAAAGAACAATGAATCCAGTAAAGAGATTGGCGACACTGACAAATGATTATATGACTGTGAGCATTGTGCTTCATTAACAACCTGGGGGAAACAATAACAAAAGTATAAAACCATTCAATATATACTGTGTATTCTCTTTTATATGGCGATCCGCGCATGATACAACCCTCCACACTTGACGATTTTTGTATTTCAGGGATATAAGAAGACCCTTGATTTCACCATCTGAATTCCTAAGTTCTGCTGCTCTTTTATGGTCTTGATACTGCATCCAGCTGGCTAGAAATGGAGCCAAATATAGGGCTAATCTTCTAAATACAGTTATACCATTTCTTTGACCCCACTGGGACCTACCCCTAAAGCTCACCAGTGCACAGATGCCCCCACAGACACATGGTTTCCATACAGTGTAGATAACACCCTTCAGAAAAACCTGGTATGGGCCTGAGTACTGAAAATACATTGAAGAAATACAGTACCTCTTGAAGAATAGGTATTGGGAGACAAGCTTTGAATTTCTGCAGAAAGTCTCTGATGGAACTCTGAAATTTTTGCATAAATTTCCTGCCATACTTTTTCTCCAGGCATTCTTTAGCATGAATCTTCTCGTCTGATTGGCTAAGAATGATGGTCCCGAAAGCTCGCCTACAAGTCATATGAATCGACTGGATATATTCTTTCTCAATCTACAAAATTGGGATGCCAAGTAATAATTAAAACATTTGTTGAAATCAAGATTTTATTTTGTGATCATTTCTTACTTTCAAGAATTAACAATGAGCTCCTGTTTATCAACGAGTTTGAGTCGGCCAACTCAAGCTTCTTTTTGTAGAATTGTTTAATTTTCTTTGTAGATGACTATGAGCGGTCACAGGTTAAAGCCAGGGGGCACCTGGATAATCATCTATGTTCTCCATTTTGGCCCATATTGGCTGAGCGAAGCCTTTAAAGGAGGACATTTAAAAAAACATCAAAATACATCTTTAAAGCATCAAAACACTGGGCTCTCTACACCCGAACCTAGCCCCTACGGTAGAGGGGGTACTAGGGCCCAAAGTAGCCTTGGCCAGACTCCATGCTTCTTTGTTACACCACTGCTAGACAATTCACCCACAATTTTACAATAATAATAATAATTCTTTATTGTTCCTCATTTAATTGGAAATCAGAATTTTGGGCTGGGTCCCTGAGGAACCGCGCCAGCCGCCGTGCAGCGTCACCCGACTTATAACTGCAATTGATAATATTTATGTTGTATCACAGTTTATGTGTCTACTGCCCCCAACGGGGGTGCAGACACTATGTCATGATGTAGCAATTAAAGATGGCGGAAAAGGGTAAACCCGGTTTAGGCATGATGGGTACTACTACCACGAGGTTGGGGGCGCTCTATTAACAATAGAATAGCTTTGAAACTCGAACACACGTTATAGAGACGCAGCACTCGTTCGCCACGAACGTCTTTTAAAGTCATTTGAAGGACGCCCTCAAGAACATGGTAGTACACTTCGTAATCAACGACATAACGTGGTAACTCAAAGAGTTACTCATTTTTAAAGTGTTTTTAGTGTAATATAGTAGTAAGCCTCTACAGAATATTGTTATGAAAGAAAATTTTCATGAAAAATCCAGATACACTAAAATAATACACACATCTGCATATTGAAGAACATAAGATAAAATTAAAAAAACAAAAACTCCTGTATAAGGCAGTAGACATGCTCCCACTGGGAGCCTATTTTTATATACCGTATATTTTTTTTTTTCTTTGTGGTTTGTGACTTTAGTATTCACAAACACTTTCAGTTATTGGCTGCTGTTTTTTTTTTTTTTTTATCTGAATAAATAAATTAAATATATTATTATTAATATCTATTGTAGCCATGGAAATTGTGCACAATAAGGATGTGTTCTTTAGAGATGCCTGCACTTGATACCACATCCTCTCACCGGAATTTTCGATTTGATGTTATCCATTGTAAATCTGGCAAAGCAGAAAAATAAATAAATAACTTACCACGCTAGTTGGTATGCAGGTATCAAATTCCCTTACTGGAAAGTACTCATCCAATTTAGAGAAAAGTATACTGAACTGAGATTCTTTTGAAAGAACATAAAGCATTACCTGTAATAGAGTTTACAAAAAAAAAAAAATTAAAATAATCCCAAAAATGAATCATCGCCACTAACAGGCTGGTAAAATATATAAAAATTAAATACAGTATATCAAATATATAGACGGAAGAGTACAAAAAAATTATTATGTACTTCTTATTCAAAAACACTTAAAAAGCAAAATACTGTATTGTTCGTTGCTCAGAAAGTTGGAGAAACCATATGAATGAATAAGCTAAACTAGGTTTAATTATTTCTCTACAGGTATGTTCACTTTTGCAATGCATTACAATCTCACCAGACACAACACCTACGAAAAAAGACCCAGGGGGCGTATTGCTGTAGCCCGTTTTGGCATTACAGCCTCCAGCAACCAGAATACAGGCCCATAGGCAGGGGCGTGCAGAATGTGCAGATGCACCCCCCCTCCCCAAATTTCTTAAGATCCACTTATATACACCTATTATTTAACAAAATCGTTCCTTCATGCACTGCATTTTATGCGCCAGCTCTTCTAACTGTTGATTGTTAATGGCCTAATATGGTATGAAATTTGTTGGAAATTGATCAGCTCCATTGATTGTAGATATGAACAATGTTTAGCTGTAGGCCTACAGACGTACAGGACATAACATTATAAATGTTACTTCTTCAGGTCCCAAAAACACCCAAATTAATGTGTTTGAGAAATCCATTATACAAGTCCATCAAAATGCTACTTTTCTCAGGGCTTTTCCCACAAACCACCTATAGGCATCTGCCACTGGACCCCCAAATTTCAAAAAATCCACCTTGTAAAACCTATTATTTCACTAAAATCTTTCCTAATTATGAGCTCCAGTGATCATGTTGTAGGCCTACAGATGTAAAGGACATAAAAAGTTACAACTTCAGAGTGGTAGATTCAAGAGGGCTGGGCGGGGGGAGGTGAACCCCCAAAATTATAAAAGAAATGGAGACAAATGAAAAATTATACAATTAAATTTAGGTCTGAGAGTGCCTTTCTGGGCCCCAACAATTGATAATCAGTGACTAACAATGCTTAATAAAGCGCCTAGAAAGACCTGTGATCTATTAGGCACTATATAAATGTTTTATTATTATTATTATTATTATTATTTGTACTGTATCTGCCATTATTCAATGAAAGACATAAACCTAATTATTCACTGACCAAATTATTCAATTTTATTATTTACTGTATTGTTACTTGAGAATCGAGGGCAATTATCCACAATCACAAATTCACAATTACATATAATAACAATTAAAATACAATTAAAAATAATCACCTTTTTTCCTATGCAAGAAAATAAAGTACACTTAAAAGTTAAGAGCTGCCTTAATACCTGAAGGGTTGATATTAGCAGGATTAAGGGCCAAGTCGTAAGCGAGGCTAGGGCCAAATGGCAAAAAAGATGAATGAAGAAGGGAGGTACAAGCAGGGAAAGGAAGCAAAGAAGAATGACGAGAATGACACAAAGAAGCAGAGCAATAGCGATGCTGAGGGAGAAATTGTGTAATTAGTGATCTGGGTTCTGGACAATTTTTGAAAGAAAACGAATGATGAAGAATTTCTGCCTAGATTCAAAGGGAATTATATTGAATCTAGAGAGGATGGAAATGTAGTTGTTGGAAGAAGCAAATTATGAAAAACATGTTATGACGATCCAAAAATTTAAAGCTTTCTTTTACCCAACTTTACCTTCATCTTCAATATGGTCAAAATTTTTGAAAATTTGCGTATAGGCACTGCTTCTGGGTGTTTTCCATACATCAGTTTCAGCATTTTGATGACTTTATGGAAATGTTGCACGTCTTCACGTTCAATTATCGCATGGATTGTTGGTGAAAAAATACGTCCATCTGGTATGGCGCTTTCTCGGTAAGCCAACAAATATTGAGGGCCTTTAGCTGTAAAAGCTGTGTTTGAAAAATAAACACTAAAATGCTCTATTAAATGTTTACATTTTTTCTTTTTTTTTATCATAGTATTTGAATGAGAACATACCAATTAAATTTCAAGGTTTACATTAACGCCCAATACGGTTGTCACTTTTTTTTTACAAAACAAATTGAAAACACAGAGATAATGAACAACTGATATGTAGTATTGAAACGGGTTTATTTATTTACTTATTTATTCTTTAAACTGTATTTAATGAAAAAAAAAATTTTTATTGCTATACAATTACGTGCAATTATTACTTTTTTTAAAAAATAATTTGAATTGTATTCTTTCTTTCGTCTGGATACATTTTTTAAAACAAAAGTAGGTCTCCCAATGGTCCAGTTTTTCTTAACGAGGATAGAAACTTAGTTACCTTTTTAAAACTGGGTAACCTATTCATTACAGATCCACTGTTTTCCCACTGGGAAGCAGTTATGCTGTTTCCCTAAGCCTCAGACTGAGGCTTAGGCTTAGGGAGTGGCGATGATTTTAGTAGTGGTAAGGAATCCTGTTATTACAGGATTTTAACACCCGAAATATATAGATTTATATTATTATATGTAGTATATACATTTATATTATACAATATAGTATATATTTCGTACTTCTTATCAAATTTGACTAATACAACTCCTGTTTCTTTGTGAATTAGCTTAAATTTAAACTTAACATATCATTTAAAGATGTTATTGTCCCATGCAAAATACCACAAAAATCATTAAAAAAAATTTTTTGAAATTAACTTGCCCATTTTTAAGAAACATAAAAATGATCAAATTTAACATAAAAATTAGTGTATTTAAAAAATGTTTACCCATCATTTTACAGTGAAAATGATAGAAACACTCCCAGTCACTGAAAGTGTTATTATCTTTCTTATAATTATCCAGTTCCAAAATCAGGGTACACATTTCATTTAATAGTTTCTATACTCAAGTTTATACTTTGTATGTTAATGCAAAATGAGCAAGTTAATTTAAAAATTATTTTTTATGATTTTTTTTTTTTCATTTTGAAGGGACAATACACATTTAAGAAACTTATTAGTTAATACTATAGTCTCACATTCAATCATTTATAGTTTAAATAAAATACGATTTGATAATTCATAATTAAAGAATTAATTTTAATTTAATTCATAAAGTTATTTTTTTTCTACCTTGAATAACAGGGTACATATTATTATCCAAAGCATAATCCAGAATTAGTCCTTCTGCCTTCTCCTTCTCTGTTGGGAATTTAATTTTTGTACTCATATCTGCTGAATGAACAAAACATTCTATCATAATGTGTTCCGAACATCATTCTATTCTCACATATATCATCAATACAATTCTTACCATCACATCGCTAGGAGAAAAGAATGAAAGTTTCAGATTTTCTAAACGTTTTGATATCACAGGCACATACGTGGTAAAGACAAGCCAAACTAGTCACTCGTCGCAAAAATCAATTTTTAGTTATTATATACAGCATTAAACAGTAAAATGAGAGCTATATAATGGTAAAAGAATCATTCAAATCTGACATTTCATTATGAAGTTACAGGAGTTATAAACATACAGCTGTTTAAGGAACAATATGTGAGAAATCAGCCTTCAAAGTTTATGATTTTCGAAATTTCGCAGGCAGAAACCATCACCAAATCATCCAAAATTGTTGTTTTAACATTATGAAGTTACAGGAGTTTAAACATACAGCTGTTTAAGGAACAATATGTGAGAAATCAGCCTTCAAAGTTTATGATTTTGGAAATTTCGCAGGCAGAAACCATCACCAAATCATCCAAAATTGTTGTTTTAACATTGAAAATAATATTATTTATATAGAGATATATAAAAGTTAGTTTAGAGTAATAAAATAGATTTCAAAATGTTGACATTGCAGCAGGTTTTGGCAATGAGCGACTGGTTTGCCTTATCTTTTCCAAATTTTATATGTTTTCATTATATATCTTTTTAGATATACTAAATTTACTTCATTGTTATTTTGTATAAAACAAGATTTATCAAGTATAAAACTTTTTTTTTTTACATAATGAATAAAATTAAAACAAATAATAGTTAATTAAATAAAAACTAGGAAAATTAACATTACGAATACATCTCTTCGTCCAGAAACTACTGTACAAAATTTTCTTTGACAAAAAGTTGATGTACAGTATGTACATATTAATGTTTTCAAAAAAATTAAAATGTATTTTTAAAATTTATTATTCAACCTTTTTTTTTTTTCTTATATTATTACTTCTCATAATAACTTACTATGTATTATGCTGGTTGATATTGTTTTTTTTTTTGCTAATGTTTGTTCTTTTGGAGATCCCTCGTTAGAGTGTCCTACACTTTTGGTAATTCTTGGAGGGCTTTTTGTTGTATTTTTCTTTAATTATTATCCTGAAATGTAATTTTAAAAAAACCAAATATAATCATTATGTGCCTAAATATGGTCATCATGTGATATCATCATGACCATATTTAGACATGTCAAATGTTTCTTTTTTCAGACAAAATATGATCTTGACAGGGCTTGAGTATTTTCATTGAATAGGATAAATTTCCATTTCACAAAATACAGTTGCTTTTACAAGAACATTCAAAATTACACTTACGTAAATCAGATTAATAGCATTTCCATTTACCTTCAAACAAGTTCAGACTTCTCTAATTTGTAAAATATGTATTTTCCATAATTAACGTCCTTAAAGCAAAGCTCTGGGTTTCTTTTTTCTTAGAAGCCTTGTATGGACTTTTTTTCAAAATAGGCCTCACTGGACTTCTTTTCGAGTTACTTATTTAGATGCTAAATAGAGGGCCTTCTTTTCAAAATGAATGCTGCAAATTTTGGAATCCCTGCTATACAACATTTTTCAACTACGAATTTGAAATTCTCTTTAATATTTGTTAAAAATGTTAACCATGCTAGTAAAATAAAATAATATTGATACTATCATAATAATCAATGATAACATCAGTCTAATCACAGACCCATATACAGGGTCTGTGGTCTAATGTACAGTAAGTACTATCTCGAAAGAAGACCACCCTTGATGCCCATGGGCTTCCAGATAGATAGGCTTAATTCTTTTAGAGATCTATTTTTGCCAACTGAAGAGGGGGAATCTTTTCAAAATGGGCTTCTTCTCGTGATTAAGTCCAATGGGGCTTCTATTCAAAAGGTTTTAAGTTGTCTTAAATTTTCGCAGCACCTAATAATTTTCCTTGAGTGCAAAATTGCTCAAAAATTGCAGGAGGCCTATCAGATGTGGAATTCAAACAGACTGGACAGGATGAAGATTTTTGGGTCACTTTTTTGGGGTTTTACAATAATTTATCAGTATTATCTGACAAGTCTTATTGGTCTAGGGTCCTTAGAGAAAATGTAGCCAAAAACAAAACTCCCGATGAAAAAATCATTGGACGTTCGTCGTAGACAAACAGCCAATTCTGGATCTAGACTAATGATAAATTTCCGTAGTGTCACGTTGTATTTTCGTAATACGTCCATTTTAGGCAAAATTTCCATAACAACTATTATTGACGGACGTTCCGTATAACTTGAGAACTCTGAAAGTTTATTCATTTTGTCTCCTTTAACGGGACCTATTAGCGCATAGTGGTTCAAGTAGTACGTACATCGATAGTAATATTTAGTTAGGGCTAAATTCGCAGGTAAATCACCATGTTACTGCTCGACCGCGGGTCATCATTTCAGCAACCAACCTTGACACTATACGACTCGTAGGGGCCTATTTATTAGCGCCATGATGCTCTATCAGTCACTCTCTTCACTACTTTCGCAGTTCTAGATACAGTATATAAACATCAGCATAAAACATAACTATAACAATCAACCCTAACCTACTACTATACGTTCCTACTAGGCTATACTACAGTACTACTTCAGAGTACGATGACCGACCTGTTATTTTACTGCATGTGTCACATGTGTTTGTTATCAACAACAAACTTTCAGAAGGAGACTGCCACCTATTGTTGAAAGAATGGTTCCCGGCGAAGGCCTTTTTTCCCTCTTCCCAATAAATGCAGTGGTTCCCAACCTGGGGTCCGCAAAAAATGATTGGTGGTCCGCCAAGTCAAAGGGTCCGCAGGGGGTCCGCGAAAAATTTCAGGATTAAATAAATTTTAAACAATCAGAATGGGACATACATTTTACAAAATTAAAAATAAATGGGGGATAAAGGATAATTGCATTGAAATTGTTGTCTGACAGTGCCGTTTGGAAGTGTCATAATAGACATACAAGGTGGTTTCTATTTCGAATTCCTGGATCAACCACTCTTATAGTTTTGTGGCGAATCATCTTCTATCTATAATCCATTGTTGGAATGTTGACAATGAATAGCCTAATACTTGGACATTAGGGTCCGTGAAGACTTTTGACATGTCCAGTGGGGTCTGTGAATGCAACCGGTTGGGAACCACACTGTAATAAGATGAATGATGAACTGCAACCATAGTGGGAATGACATCAAAATCATCAAATAATGAAATAAATAGAAACCAAGTTTATTCATGATTTGATCAGGCCCGTAGCCAGGTCCTTCCAAGAGGGGGGGGGGGGGGGTCTGGGCGTGAGTCCGCGGTCGAAGCCCCGGTGGAGTCGGCAAAACCCCCAAAGCAAGAGTTCGTGCTTTATGGGTCTAAATAATGCTATAAATAATAAAAGCAGATATGTTTGAAAACGTCTGTGTTTGGGTGGGTCTGCAGTGCATTTAGTTGGGTTGGAGGACTTATTTGAGAAAATTGAAGAGGGGAGTTCGCCATAAAAGAGCGAGGTTTGCTAGAAAAGGGGGGTCACTCCCGAACCATAAAAAGCCCCCTGGATACGGGCTTGTTAATACTTTTCATCCATCTGATGATTTTTATTGTTTCTTTTTCATCAGTTTGTCTCTTCTTCTTCATCTTATCTTGTTTATTTAATTCAACTTCAATTGGACATTGTTGAAAGCGTACCGTATAGAGACCATTATCGCGCTATGCAAGTCTACAACCACTATTACCATTATTTGGTAGGCTGCACGTACTGTTTTGCATTATTTATCCCAAATTGGTCAATTTTATTCAGGTTTATATATTCTCAACACACACACACACACACACACACACATATATATCTGTCTGATGTTGAACATGTAAAGGATCTTATTAAATAAATACTACACTGGAATTAAAAGACAATTTTGGAGTGGGAATCAGGGCATACCCAACTGCATTCACTTCAAGTTAACAGAACACTCAACCACTGTACCAAGCTTCAAAGTGATCAGAGAACAGCTTTAACGAAACTACTGTATAGTTCAGTAATCAGGGCAGATCCAGTAAAGGGGAGGGGGAAATGTTCCCCTACACCCTCCCCATTTTTTTTCCACTAAATCTAAAAATTTCAATGCATATATCGAAATTATCGCTACTCATTTATCTATTCTGAATAGGCTATGTTGTGCCTCGCCGTTTGAAAAATTCTGGATCTATCCTGATAATAGGTCGCTTGGACGACATTTAATTATTGTCCGTGTTCATTTATTGGTATTTTTATTTCTTTATTCTTTGGGATTCTACTGGGAACCTGTTCAGTAGGAAATCTTCTGTTTTCCAACAGGGCCAGTGGCGGCTCTAGGATATATTTTCTGGGAGGGCTAAGTTGTCCGACAGGGGGACTTGAGCTCGTAGGCTCGAGCTGGGAGAAGGGGTTGAGAGGGGGTTCCCCCTCCCAAATGAGATTTTTTTTAAAGAATTAAAGAATATCAACCTCTAGATGGCCGAAAATGGCACTCTCAGACTGTGACAGACATGTGTTGGCTTGGTGTGGGTCTATTTTATATGTTTTATGGTCTGACTGCCCGACGAGCTCTGTCCGGAGGGGGGTTAACCTGTCCGGTGGCGCCGCCACTGCAAAGGGCCCCAGTTCATATACATTTGGTATTTTGAATAATTAAAATACAGAAACAGTGTATTCCTTGGTTCTTGCATGCAATACTTGTTTGTAAGAAATGATTGCGTATCATCAAAATACAGTAGTCTTAACATTGAAGTAATTGAATTGAGTATTAAATTTTCAATAATAAATTAATAGCTAATCGAATATATGAAATTATTTAGATAAGATAATAAAATGGCTAAACCTCTAGAGCTTCTAGGGATAATAGCCACTGTAACCTACAATTGAGGGAACACCTCTATTCTCTATCATTTGAGGATGAATAAATTGAAGATTGTAGTTCTGTTGTGCATAATATTACTTCAGTCAATTATAAAAATTCATTCAGTGCTTCTTTAAACACACTGTCCGCCCTCTAACTCAGATTTATGGAAGTTGGAGGGAAATATTTCTCTGTGCCTCAGTTGCCCTTTGGAATGAATTAACCAAAATTTTACAAACAACAATAAGGCATCAACACATTCTAACTACTGTACTACTCAAAACACATCTTTTTTAATTTATATTTTGCTTGATTCTGGATCAAATGCACTCTACCAATTATTATAATTATTATAGCAGTTCATTTTAGGATGTATTGTCAGTGAAGAACAGTACTGTAAAAACAAATGGTTGTATAATTAAGTTTTACTGTAATAGGATTAATTTTAGTCAACAAACACCTCCAAGCATTTACATCAGACAGTAGCAGAGCAGCTTCCTCCCAGGGTAGTGGGGACGGAGAAACCTTAGCTAAGGGTACATTGGACTATGGTTTCTTTGATCCCCCTACCCTATAGTTGAACCAAAAGAAAAACAAAATGAACTACTACTATTGATAAATACAGTATATACACATAATCATGATGTATTCATAATACTTTTGAAAATTTAATAAAAAATCAATCAATCATTATTTGGTGGGATATATCACGTCAGTGGGTGGGTGCGTACATCAATAAATTATTGTCACCAATATTAAAACACTGAACTACATACTGTAGTTAGACCGTAGGCATTATGATACTGTAGTAAGAAGCTTGCCTTTTTTTTGCACGGCAATAGATAGCCTGCACACGCAAAGACCTTGGCTTGCCACAAGTCTTGTTATATTATTTTCTCCTTCTTATTATTTTCTAATTTAGCAAACAGTTTTGCCAAAAACATCCAGATGGAGGAGAAAATAAAAATACAATTTTATTGGTGAATGTAAAATAGGATGGTTAAATGCTTCAAATTTATATAATTAGGAAGAATATCTTTGGAGAATTCAAGGCTGCGGAGGGCGTAATAAAAATAAAGAAAAACTTTTTTTTTTTTTATTTCTAATTTTCCGTGGTGGCGGGTATGCTAATTGGCTAAAAATAAGATTTTATTTTTATTCAAAATCATCAATATTTGTAGTCGACGGGTTCGATAAACAAGGTATAAAAAAAATCTCGCCTAATTTGGCTCATGTGCACTTTAAAGTGCCCAACACATCTTTTGAGATGATAAGTAGGGTGTTACCCCAGTCTACTGCTTCATTCAGCCCCTACTGTGGATAGACGGGAGTAGCTGGTTCCGGATTTCCGAGTAGCTCAGACACAAAGAGACCATTAGGGGAGAAGCAAGTTTATAGTAATAACCAGTCCGCACCTAAAGCGCTATGAGACTGTTTCGGTCTAAAGTACTATATAAATCTAACTACATTACAGAATTCCCACAGTAACCCAAATTAGGCCTAGGGAAGACTGGGGTGGGTTACTATTTGAATTTTAGAATGTAGTTTGGGGCGAAGACAGTTACGTATGAGTGAATCCATGCCAGTTTCGTGCTGTTGCAACTGAAAGCTTTTCATTACATTCAAGTTGGCTTCCAAGGAATTAAAATTAATTTTAGACATTGTTTCTAATTTCTGCACAGCAAGTAGCCAGCCAATAACAAGTACAAACTAACTATAATAAACATAAACAAACTTTCATAAAATATATTCATAGGTATCTTTTTTTTTTTTTTTTTGTAATCTTTTACATAATCATTAGTTAATAAAATATATCCAAATATTCCCATTATCCTATAATATATATATTTAAATCAGCAGCTCAGAGACAGGCAAATATATTATCCCTGGTCACTGCGCCCTTAACATCCACCATTTACCCATTTATACTACTGGGTTGAGTGACATATTATGTACGTATAGTACAGCTACCTTTCCCATAGACACAATTAAAACAGTGAGGGATTTGAGATGCTGACCCTCAGATTTATTGCCTGATGTACAACCGCTGCCACAACCAATCACCTGATTAAATTTGTTCGCATTAAAGAATAGAAATTACACAAAGAAACAATCGCAACACAGTGAGGGATTTGAACCTCCTACCTTGAGACTAAAAACCCAAACCCAAAAGTGCTGCTCCTACCGCACCCATAATAGTATTTTTTTTGAATTAAAAAATGGAAAAGTTGGGAGAAATTTTTTAAATAAAATTAAATCAAACATGATTTGAGGACCTTAATGAATAAACTTCTTATATTTAAATTTTTTGTGACCTTCATGCCAGATCATTAACACTGAATACTCCAAAGCATTCTTAGTTTTTTCCCTTTAAACTATTCAGGTTTCTGTAGGCACTCTCTAATTTTTTTTTAATTACATGGTTAAATATTATTGGCAAAGAAAATATAGATAGTGCATACAAATTATGAAATTCTGAAAATTAATAAGCATTGCATCAGAGTCATAGGCACCTTAAGCGTAGGCGTGACATGATTTGCTCATAGTGTACCCACCACACACACAAAATCTGGAATACAGCTTGATTGAAATTTCCAATCAAAGTTTTTGATATGTTCCATTTATATCAAATTCAGTACTGTTCATTTGGCAATGAGATCTTAATCATAGACCTAATTTAAAAACACTTTGCCAGGGTTCATTAGCCCCTTGGGATCCAGGGTTGCTTTTAGTTGTCTCATCACCATCATTGCACCATCGCCAAGTTCCTCTATTAAAAGCTCCTTCTTGCCCAGACCGATACCATGCTCTCCTGTACAGGTTCCACCAACTGCAATCGCACGTCTGCAAAAAAATCCCCAAAATTAATATTAATAATTAGATTAAATTCATATGCTCAGTGGTGTATCAAAGAGTCTAGAAATGGAGCCTTGATGATTAAGTGGGGGAGGGGGCGGGGGCCTCGGTCACAAAGTAAGGTGATATGAGACGATTTTTAAACTACATGAGAGTGATTTTTTTTGCATTGTACTTCTTCAATGGGGAGGGTTAGGGGGCCCTAGATACGCCACTATACTACGAGTGGATTTGAATAGCTTGGTGGTTTAGGATGCTTGCGTTTCAATTCCTGTCAATGTTGTAGGATTTTTCTCACGACCAAAACAACTACACTTTATGAGCTTCATAATGAAATTTAGTTTGCGTAATGCACAATGTGTGTATATTTGACTTTTGAAAGGGATTGTCATCTACAAGTATGACAGTGATATAATTGATATTGACAATCCTGTGCATGTGTTGTATGCCTAAATACATAAAAAATAAAATACACATGTTAAACCCATATAGTATTTTTGTACATTTTATGTTATGGCATTGGCAGCATTTCCAAGGCTGGGATGTTTTCTGGGTTTTTAATACTGTATTTATACTTCGTGCGTTACCAGTGATGAACCCAGGAATTTGAAATAGAGGAGAGGGGCCCAGTTAAGGGAATTTTACAGATGGAATTTATACGCCACACAACGCCACTTCTATTTTATTCCTAAAGGTGACAAGCCGGTGATATGTTCATGCATAGTGAAATCAGATATCAGGCTATAACTCATCACATACACCACAAACTAACACTCAAAGTAGATTGTGTTAGTCTGCGAGAACAAAAAAGTGAGTCAAAATAAGCGTGTATTGGTTGCCAAGCCCTTTTTGTATTCTTTACCACAAAAAAGTCTGTAACAACAACAGCGCATATTTTTACTATTTTAGGCTTCGTCTTACACGTGAGTATATATGGTACTTGAGTTTGTGATGTGAGCCATAAATTGATTTACTATAAACATATCACATTGATATACATAGGTGTGATGTTGAACAAACCTGTTCACGTTGGCTGCAATGGCTTGAATTTGTTCAAATTCCTCAGGGACATTGGGATCAAATAACATGACTGCATGGAAATTTCCATCCCCAACATGACCCGTCAATGTACCTAAATCAAGCGTAGATATTACCAAGATATAAAATATTGGAAGAAAATAAAAAAATGAACCATAATGCACACAATCGCAGGTTAGTGACATGATTGTTAATGAGGTATTTTTATAATATCATATTGTTAATTTATTTTTTATTATTTGAAAACAGTTGTTGCTTTAATTATGCTAACTTTAGAATCACGTCAGTAACCATTGGTCATGTGCATTATAGGTTCATTGGGCAGAAATTATGTAAACTACCTGGCCATTCTTTGAGCAACTTTCTTTATTACTGGCAACTCTTCAGGGTTGTCGGGGTCAACGGTAATAAAGCAATGGAAGTTGCCATCACCAACGTGGCCAACAATAGTACCTTAATCAAATAGACAAGACGAATAGATGAGAGGTTGATATTACATTAGAAATGGCTGGTGGCTGGCTATTAGCAATATTGTATCCTAAGTTCTGTACAGACTATCAAATTCTGTTGTATGCCCATATATAGTCATGATGTGCCTATATATGGTCATGATATGATGTCATCAACTACCATATTTAGGCGTCAAATTAAAATTTGATAGTCTGCACAGGGCTTTAAATTTTATGTGACAAATTTGTGTGATATGCCCATATATGGACATAACAATGTCATATTACACCCAAACATGGGCATATCACATTTATTTGTCACATAAACTTTTATAGTGTGGACTTTAAGAGTATTGAGCAGATGAGAGGTTAAATTGCAGCCTTTTTAAACATGGATATACATTTGTTACATACGGCGAGACTTTTTTTATACCTTGTATCGCAGATTTGTTTTTTTTAAAGATCATGAGAGGAGGGCAAAAAAAAAAAAATTAAAATTAAATTTTAGTTTTTTATTTAGCAAATAATTTTGCCAAAAAAAAAAAAAAATACAATTTTATTGGTGAATGTAAAATGTAGTAATGGGATGCTTTAAATTGATATAATTTGGAAGAAATATACATATCTTAGTTTTGGAAATTTTTGAAGGCAGCGACAGGTGTAACAAAAATAAAGAAAACTTTTTCCTAAATTTTCCACTTTTTCGTGGAGGTGGGTCCACTAATTGGCCAAAAATAATCACTATTACTGGCAGGCGGCGGGTTCGCTAAACAAGGTTTAAAAAAAATCTTGAAAAATAAAGAATAAAGTAAATCTACTTATAAGGTAAAATGTTTTAAACAAAGGACAATCAATATTTATATTCTTTTTTTTTTATTGAAAATTCGAAATACATTTTTTATACCATTGATATTTTATTTAAATTAAAATTATCGGTCAATTAAAGTCAGTTTATAAGATTCTTATAGTAATTAGCTTGTAAATCAATACCTTTTAAAATTGTATTTTATTCATATTGGCAAGCAAAGACAACCTCAAAATAAAAAAAACAAATATTAACAGAAAATATTAAGAGATTACAAAATCAACAATCAAAATCCAGAGCAATTCCAGATGATCAACATCAGCATCACCATAATTAATAATATTGTAATATAAGGTAATAATCCTTACCAACGATTGATGAGTTAATAATATCTTCTTTTGTTGCGACTATAATGTCTGGAAGCTTTGATATTGGAACACACACATCGGTAGAATAACCCTAATAAAAACCATTAAAATGAAATGTTATCTTTATAAATTATTAGTTTTAATTTCAATTTTCTTATCCATCCTGGCTAAGACAATTAGCATTAAAATTAAAACTGATAAGGTATCTATAAAAAAAAAATAGGTATCTAGAAAGGCACTATCAGAAATATGTACACTTTGTGAAGAGATCCACGAGGAATATGTATCGTTATAAATCATAAACCATATCAGTTTAGCATGAATACTGTAATTCCAGCTATCTCAAAATAATTATCATAGCACATTAATAAAATTAACTTAAAATAGTTATCTTTATCTCGACATTCCGGTACCTATACAACATTCTGAGTGTTTATTTTTATTTTTCTTTCATCAAGTAGTTGTATATATTAATCCAATGTTTGTACATAGTCAGGGCCTAATTGAAAAACAATGTACTTCATTTCAAGAAATAACAGAGTGTATGTTTTCCCAGCTAAAACTTGAAATAGCATATGCTTAACGTTAGGATTGGCGTGTGCCTTCATTAATCATTACGAAAATGCTTTGTAAGCGAATAAGGATAACCAGGGATGTAGTTGTGGTGGGCAGGGCCACCCAGTTTAAAGCTAATTTCATGGCCCTCCACCCACGCTTATTAACACACTTTTCATCCTTAAAATCCACTCTTATTTCTTAGAGTTTACCAACGTTATCACCCACCCACCCTTAAAATGTCAATCACCCCCCCTAAGTTTTCTATAGCTACTGTACAACTGTGGATAACTACTGGCAAAATAAACACTGCCTAAAAATAAACAGCTTGTGTTGAGGGTGTTAGCCTTACTCTGGTCCCAGGCCGCAGTGCTAGGGTGGCATACCAGCAATTATGCCTGGCTTTCCACAGCTTATTCCTGTCTTCCTGCTTCTCAGCCCACTGGAATTCTGATCCCCCATTCATATGGGCTAGCTCCTCTGTAAATGGTAATAATTCAAGAGTATAAATTTAACCTTATATCATATGTACACATGTTTTCAATTCAATAATTTATATGTTAAAGTTTAAAATTTGTATGTTACTGCAAAATGAGCATATTAATTTCAAAATTACTTTTTGGTTTTTTGTAATTTTTAGGGGACAATACATATTTTTTTTAAATGAAAAAAAAAGAAGAATGTTTATTGAAGTGTGATGAGCATAACAGGTATCTGTACTTAAACAAAAATCTTACCAACAAGCTCCACTTGTGCTTTAACAGCTTCTTGGGCGCCATGAAATTCTAGAAAAAGTGTTGGTGTGACCTTATGTGAGAGGTTGCTGAATTTATTACACGCGTCAATCATGACATCATCCAGAAATTCTATTTAAATGAAAATAAAATCTTACAATCAATTCCCTCATATTCCATTAAATTATTAAGGTTGAGGTGTAAATAAAAGCTCTCAACAGGGGCAGATCCAAAAGTTTTTAAAAACGAGGGGGTACCATAAAGGACTAGATGTAATATAAGTATACAGATAAAGAACTGTCAAATAATAGTATAATTCGTGTTCAGTATAAACTTTTTTTCATTTAGTATTTGTATGCCAATTTGTATTTTCTTTTCTGTCAAAAAATAAAATATGGCAGTTACAATACAGAGGGTTTCCTGTTTCGCTTTCCCTAAATCTGCCCATACTCACCAATCCTAGCCATGGGTATGCCACACTGCATCACCTGCGTGACTGTATCCACTGCTGAATGGACAGTTTCAAATGAACACACTGCAGACATCATCTATTAAAGACAAAATCAAGCAAAACCGAATTAAATTCTAACACAAATGCACTTCCAACACACTTATGTTTCTGTATATGTAGTTACTTACACTTTCTGGAATTCCGTAGAGACGAACTGTTGCCTTGGTGATAATTCCAAGAGTTCCTTCAGAGCCGACAAACAGATTGGTGAGATTGTACCCTGCTGACGTCTTTCTGCATGCAGAAAATTCAATATAAAAACAATAAAAATTAATAAAAATAAATAAAATTTTAAAAAATTATAAAAATTGTGCAGACCGCATTCTAAGCAATATATTTACACATTCATTCATGGTAGAAGTGTCCTCCAATTTCACCACCATCACACAAAGTATACAAGGTAAGCATGTATCACCATTATCATCATGCCTTGACAAGAGCGGGTCCTTTGTAGGGCCTGCCCTTGCGGTCATATCTGTAACGTCGAAGGTTTCTGTGGACACGATATTCAAAGATTCACAGATAAAATGTATAATATAATAAATTCCTAATATTTCTATTTCAAAATGAAAATACCTGGATCTTTTTCCCGGTCCAGAGGTGTGTAGAATGGTACCATCTGCTAAAACCACCTCAAGGTTCATGACATTCTCTCTCATTGTACCGTACCGGACTGCATTAGTCCCAGAGGCACTTGTTGCGCACATCCCACATACGGACGCATGGGCACCAGGATCTATTTCATAACCAAAATTGAATATAAATATGATTTTATTTCTTCAATAACATAATTTTGTATTAATGTATTCATACGTATAATCTTTTTAAAATTTCCTGTATAATAATTGTATTAATAAGTGATGATTAATTTGTACAATATGTTTTTATATAATGTATTTACTATAAGGGGTGGGCATAAGGTGAATTTTTGATTTAACACAGAGGGCCATACCCAAACGTTGATGTTTCCAATGCACTTCCAAAAACCATGGACTGCTTTTATACAACTTTGTCCTCAGTTTTAATATTGCTTTTTACAGATGATCGGTGTTGGGCCATCAAAAACAAGGTGTTTTCTATTCAAAGATGTTTGACGATTCGCACACATAGGGTTTTTAAATCAAATTTGTGGGCCGAAAAAAAAAAAATCACTGTCGGGCCGCACTTTGGCACAGATTCAGATTCAATAAAAGTTATTTCCATTTCCATTTAAAAAATTAAAAAATGCAAGGAGCATGGTGGCATCACCTAAAAAGCAACATGTTTGTAGTAGAGGTGCCAACACAAACATTCAACAAAATGTAAACAAGAAAAACTAATCTAAACAATATATACGAGAAGTAAATTTCAATATTAGAAATAATAATAACAGTAATAAGTAAATTTCAATATTAGAAATAATAATAACAATAATAACTGTAAATAAAATGCATTAATAGTTAGCAAAACTTTCATAATATATGAGATTTAAGATTCTTTTTTAAGCAAATACTATCTATAATATTCTTTATCACTGGGGGCAAATTATTCCAGAGTTTAGCTTCGGAATATTGAATGCTTTGCTGTGAACAGTGAAGTTCTATGTTTGGGAAGGTGAATAGATGTAGAGGTCTTGTGTTGTAGTTATATATTTTTTCGTTAAATTCAAACACATGAAAGTATTTTGGGTATTTTACCAAGATAATTTTCATGGTTGGAGGCACAAAAATATATTTTTTTTCAGGCCACACTTTAATGTTGGTACAGATGCTCGTTTACTTTTCTATCAAAGCATGATACAATCAGTCTTTAGTTTCTGTAGTATCATCTGGTTCATGGGACTGACCAAAAAAATGTCTCAGCAGGCTATTACAAGGTCAGCAAGTAAAACAATACTATAGAGGTCAATGACTTAAGTTGTTTATGTGAAGATGCCTTTACTTAATAAAAGGTCATAGCAAAGGACCAAACTCACTCATTTAACAAGTTCATAACAGTTAGTCAATCTGGCAGAATAATTCGAACTTTGAAATGTACCAACCGTCATAAATGCTCATGTTTACCATGTGCGATAAGAGACTTCAGTAGATAATTTCATGATCAAGTTATTAAATCATTATCTCACTGTACTTTTCTCTATGCCATATTCCTCTTCCGGACCACACAAAATATAGTTCAACCTTGTTTAATTCCATGTGTATGTATTATTATATCAGTTGTTTTCGATTTTTACTGTTTGCTATTTCTGTATACACTCAAAGAAACAAATCTCGTATATATGTATTATGTATGACAATAATAAATGAATCTTGAATTTTGAGGTATGCAAATTAAGTTGTGAATACAGTATAATATATATTACATTATATGCCCTTTTCCTGTACCTCTTTCATGCCTTACCAATTGGGAACCAAAGGCCTTGATCTTTTATGTAGTTATTGAGGGTTTCTCGAGTCACACCGGGTTGCACTGTCACGTCAAAATCCTCCGCATTCAGCTCTACGATTTCGTCCATCTTCGTCAAATTTATTGTCACACCACCCTAGAAAAAAAAAGCAACATTAATTTATTAAAAAGGTAAAGGTAGTCCCGTATTCATATTATTAAAGGTAGGGGAATGAGCTGTTAGCCCATCGTACTAAGCTTCGGTATTGTGTTGTAGGGATGACAGTTCCTTTCCACACCGGCTTTTTCCTCCCCAGTAGTGAACCATGTACCCGTTTATACTCCTGGGTGGAGAGTGACAAACATAGATAAAGTGCCTTGTCTAAAAACACAAGCGAAATGCACAGCGAAGTGTTTAAACTCCCTACAAGAATATTTCAGGAGTATTTTTGGTGTGAATACCACCAATGAATCCGAAGACTTGTTTCCAGTGTGGTCCTTCTGGTGGTGAATTGGGGAGACAATCCCCTACTTTTTCCCGAAGAGTGTACTGCGTACTTTAACGTGCACATGGGCCATTTTGCACACAGGACCAACGGCTTACACGTCTCATCCGAAAGACGGTGCGTTATTGTAACTTGCATTTTAGCCCTCCAGCTGAAATACAAGGAAAGCTGCAATGGGAATCGAACCGGGGATCAAGAGATCTCCACGGTTCAGCGCACACACAGTGGCTACCAACAGTTAAGCCGACTGAGCTATAGCTACTCTCTCATCAGGGTGCTCTTCATATCAAAAATATATGATGAAAAGTCTAAAATCAAATTTGTCAAAATTTTTTCTGAACCTAAGGAAACTAAACAGATCAGACAGGCTGTTTCAGAAGAAACACCACACAATAATCTTTTAAAATATTAATTTTGTTTTTAGTTTAACTATAAAGTTTATAGCAAAAATAGTATAATTTCCTTTATTTACTGGACTAGTATAAAAACGTCACATTAATGTCTTCAAAGAAAACAGATATTTTTTAGATTAATGTTCTAACTCCCAATTCCTACACACACATTATAAATGATGTTCACCACAGATCCTGTACAAAGATCTTATGTTTGTATTGAGAAAGGGTTTGTTTACCACACCTTGTAGCCCACAGCTCCTCCTTCTAGTCCGGTTCCTGTACCAAAGGGAATCATGGGAATGCTGTTGTCATAACAAATCCTTGCTACCTGGCTGACTTGCTCGGTAGACTGCGGCCAGACAACCGCATCCGGTGGCGTACATCTGTAGGGATAATTGAAGTACAGTACTGTATTTGTGAAATTCTGAATAACAATAAATCATGATATTAAAATATGTGAGGTCTAACTACAAAATGAGACTCATCGTTAGAAAATCAAAAAAATGAGTTTATATTATATTTCAGTTGATCACATTATAAGCTTTAATTTGATCTTTGAATGGCTTCCCTAGGATAAATAGATCCAGAGATGTTAGCATTTAAAGTTTAGATGTATGAGAATCAGGTTTTGAGAAAATCGGCCTCAAAGATAACTAACCTGTACAAATAATAGTACTAGAATTACAGAATATGCACAGAGAACACTGTTTTAGTACAAAAATTCACTTGAAAAGTACACAATCATAAAATATAAGTATCAAGTTATTCAAAAACATTAAAATCAAAATTTTGCAAAAATGTTGCCTTTGACCTATTTTGGTGAATATCTCAATATGATTTCACCAACGATGCGTCTTGTTTCGTGGTGAGACCTCACATATGTCAAAGTAGCAGTGTCACTGTGCTGCATTTGGTACGGATGTTGTTGGTGAGTATCATAGATGAGAGCATCAGGTAGTTACTGTACACTTTCCAATAACTATAAAGGCTGAAGTGAACCACAGCACAGGAGTAACCCACTACTATGGCAAAAGATCAAATACTGTAGGTACTATAAAGTGTACACAAGGCAGATGTGTAAAGTGGGTCTTCGGTTTTGATTCCCTATTCAAGACGACCTGGTTCTACCAACTCAACCCTAAGATTTTCTTTTTTTTTTTTTAGAGGGGATTTTTTATATGTCACTAGTAATAGAATCAACTTTAAAATCGTTTTTTGGCAATTTTTTTATGAAGTTATAGGTCATTACGGTTTTGCCCTTTTAGTAGCTTGACGTCACTGTAAGCTACTGTTCGTATAACGCTAATTTAATTAGATTTAATATATTCATATGGCACTCACATGTGATGGGATTCGTCACGTCCATGTTGTTCTCGGACTGGTAACGCAGTACTCACATTCTTTGCACCAACTACTGATGTCAAAGCTTCAACCACGGAATCTGAAACCTTTTCAGAAAATGAAGTGACAGAATTAATTGCAGCAAAATAATTTGTCAACTGCAACTCGGTCGGAATATTTTGTACAAAATGCTATATGAATTGAAAGCTTAATATCAGCAAAGAACAACAAAATAAATTGCGGCCAAGACAAGCCAAACCAGTCACTCCTCACAAGTCATATTTGGAGATAATGGCCAAAATATATTGAATTGTCAAAATTTTTCGAAATCTATTCCATTGCACTAAACTAACTTTATAATGTATCATGCTCTGTTGTTATTTTCTCCATTTTCGATGTTAGAAAAAGACTTTGTTAACAATTTGTGGATGGTCTCTGCCTGAGAATTCCCCAAAATTGTGAACTTTGAAGACTGATTTCTCAAATACTGTTACTTAAACAGCTGTACGTTTAAACCCCTGTAACTTCACAATGAAACGTTGGATTTAAATGATTCTTTCATCACTTTATTACTTTCATTCTACTGTTTAACTCAGTAATACCTAAAAATCGACATTTGCAAGGAGTGACTGCTTTGGCTGGTCTTTCCCACAATCATAGGATCAGACATTAATGTTATTACGTACCTCTTTTGCAAGCGTGTGAGTACTCTTCTGTCGCCGTTGATGAACAGTCACTGTAGTTGGAGCATAGTTAGTCAGAGACTTCCTTAACACTATACCAGAGGTTTTTCTTAGTACTTGCAAGAAACTCATCTTTTCTGCAACTTAAGAGTGATAAAAATGCTTACACTACAGACACATGAATTTTAAATTTAAAAGCATTATAAAATAATAATAATTTTTTTTTTAAATATGAAATAAAAAGATGCTGTGTAGAGTGTATATACCTACTGTATACAAATATATGAAATGCACATTTTCATAATTTTCTGTATAGATCTGTCTCTGGTTCCATCCTTACAATGAAGACTACACTTACATTATGTGTGCCATTAATAATATGCAATTATAATGTTGTATGTATCTAATTTGCTCTTTGCATTAAGGTTAATTGAATAAATACATAATAATAATAATAATAGTGTAGTTTTATATAGCGCACATATCCATCTAATGTAAGATGCTCAGAGCGCTTGAAATGTGGACTAAGAACTCGACCAGTGACTTTCTTCGCCCCTAAGGGTCCCTTCGTGTCTGTGCTACCCGGTAATCCGGTACCAGCAACTCTCGTCGTCCACCACAGGGGCTGTCTGTTCCAGTACACCGGGGTAACCCCCTACTCGTCTCGAAGGATGTACTGGGTTCTTTATAGTGCACACGAGCCATTGTATACACTGGGCCTACGGTTTATTGTCCTTATCCGAGAAGACTTGTTCTACCACCAGAGCCATAGGCGAGCGTGCCGTTCGAACCAGCGCCGATATTATGGCTATAGCTTGCGGCGTCCCTGCTAACCGCTCGGCCATTCAACTCACATGTAAATGTATGATAATGGAGAGTTCAACTTATTGTTAAGGGCAATCAAAGATTTAAATTCAGTGTTTCACATCAAATGTGGTATCAAATTAAAGCTTATGTCTAGAGTTTCCAGACATATGATTAATATTCAATATTGATCATGATATGACATTGCAAATTATGATTTAGTATTTTTTTTTCAAATTCCTTTATATTCATAATAATGGAGAAATAAATTGTCCATGTAAAATGCTAGTATCATATGAATATATATTATGATATTAAAGATAGATACATGAGTAAATAATATTGTTTATTTATTGTTTTCCGTATATCGTTATGCATAAATGACATCACAGAATACGACTAAGAACAATGTCACACTGTAACAAAGTTGTGCATGCACTGAAATTAAAATTATCCTCTTCTAGTTGACAGGGTTTTATCATTACAGTATGTTTATCAGGCTAAAGGTTAATGTCCTTTTTCATCACACTGTTATACCAATATAATATACTGTATTAATTATTATTTCATAAACCTAGCTAGTTTAAAAAAAAAATAATAATGTTGATTACACATGATGTTGTGGTAGCAGTTGTTAATAAAAATTTCTTTAAAAAAACATGTGAGTAAAGTTGAAAATTTGTATTCGCACGGTAGACCGTGCGAATAACCACTTCCTTTCCCTAATGTCATTATAACGTGACATACTATTAAAAGTAAAATGCAATTCATCTTCTATGCACTGATCTGAGCATAATTTACATTCTATTGTTTTTGCTGACTTTCTTCCATCTGCATTTCTCTACTTCTGAATCCAGAGTTGAGGGAACTAGGGGGTGCTGTGTTATATGGAGAGTAATGCGTGACGGAAATGGTCTGCAGTCGGTTGTTACCATGCACCAGTGATGTTGGAGTCACAGTGCAGCAAAATGAAACTATTAGGCCTAATGCATGAATAAAGTTCGCGGTTTGTTGGGTAGTGAAATTATTATTTTACATTTTAAGTGCTCCCTAAATGCATAAGTGTAAGCTAAATTATGGTGATTAATTTAATTAGCGAAGATATGGAGACAATTATTTCGAGGTTCCCTCTTTCCAAGAGGGGATGCAAATGCTTTTTGAAAATGAGTATGCCGCGGTACACACAAAGAAACACACACAACTGGTTAGCTAACGATATGCCAATGTAATTACACCTGGGAAGGAAGGTACAATCATGTTCCGTTGCCTAGCAAACGTCCATACTGTATGGGGAGGGGGGCTACTGATGTACTGGGTAGGAGGACGATGAGGCATAACAATAAGACAAGGCCTAGGCCCAGGCCTAACTAGGCAGTGCAATTATATGTGATAGAAAGTACACTTTCGAAAGAAATAAATTAAAATAAGAAAAAAAAAAACAAATAACTAAGAGTAATTCAGTTGCAGAGGTACCTTGTTTAAGTATTATACAATACTATTAAACAATGCGGCTCTTGTAGCCCTGGCTTGGTCAAGGCATCCATGTGCAAAGCAGTGGTGTTTGTTTATCCATGAAAAAAGCACGCCGGGAAAGTTTGCCTTTACCAGGAAAAGGTGACGTAATCTAGCTTATGAGGTATGCATGCTCACTAATGTGAGTGTGACGTCACCAAAAAATGAATATTTTTTATTATAACAAAAGTATTAATAAACTACAAGGTTTCTGGGCGTAAATTCCCTTAAAACGAATTAAGGGTTGCACGCAATCTCCTTGCCATACAAATTACAGCTCCCACTGACGTCTCAGTCGAGAAATATGGGTAGTGGAAGTTTTTCTCGAAAATCTGACTACGAAACCATATCAAAATTTCACGTTCCACTTTTGATCTGTCTATAAATAATAATAAATAATTTTCTAATTTAAACTAATTTTTAAAGGATTTCAAATGAGTTAATCTCGGATATGTTTTTACTTTTTCCTTGTTAAAATTTTGTCTTTCTATATCAATAAGTCTCAGTTTTAGCTCAGAAATAAAAGAAGCATCAACTACAGTACCTGTTGTAAAAACCAAACATACCCAAAACCAATTGGACATAGAATTTGCTTAGAATAATATAACCAACATAATTCATTTCGAATAGTAAAAAAACTACGAGGCATTAATAGCACAAACAACCGTCTATAATCGAATTACTGATCGCGGGCTCAATAATGACTCATGAGCCCGATCGTGTAGTAGCAAACATGTTTCGGAAATACTATTCCCATCATGGAGGTATATAAAATATACCTCCATGTTCCCATCATCAGTGAGAAAATACCAATTCTGCCAAGGTTATGCATTTAACACGTGTATGAAAATTGGCATGAAACAATTAGACTGATGAAGTGAAACCTTCAATGCAAACACCACATGTCACTGCATGATTGTTATGGTAATTAGGACCACAACATGGTCGTAGTAAGTATTCACGGCCGCACTTTCGGCGCTCCATACACCGCGGCCGAAATGCATGACAAAATACCAACTCAGGGCCGAAACGCCATGGGCCGAAACTAGGCTAATTCTAGCCTAAATAGGCCTACAATATAATCAACGGATAGAAAATAGTTAACTTACATTCCAGTTAAGTAAATTAATTTAATCGTGCGATCTAGGTAGGTGCATTTTCACAAAAGGGTGATTATTTGGCCAAACAAAAGATCAAAATTCGTTTCGTGTCAACCTTGTTTTGATTTTGTTTACAGGTTGAGGGCAGCATTATGATATTAAACGAAGTCTTCCCATCGCCCGTTTTACCGGAAGTCACTCTTTTCGGCCTAAATACGTGCAAGCATGGTAAGTAACCAAAAACCTTGTGCAAACTTTATGTAGAAATAGGAATATTTACTTTAAATTTACAGTATTTGGATATAAAAATGCATTTTGAAAACACTATGCTGTGTATTAACATAATTTCCAATCAACAGTTAACTTAAATTGGTTTCTAATTAGTCTTTTTTATTAGCTGTGTTGCCGTTGGTTTAGTTAGGCTGGCTGGAATGAGAAGGCAGGGCAGCAGTAGGCCTAGACTGCAGTAGGAAGGACTGGCCCCTAGTTGGCTAGGCTAGGCCAAAAGGGTGTTAGTATCTATAAGCTAAGCTCCTGACTTCGACACAGGGTCTAGGCCTAGCCTAAGTGTGGCTTCTATGCCTATTTTTATTAGGCCTAAGCTTTCAATCATTTGTTTTGTTGACGAATCTGAGTAGGATAATTAAATGTTATGTGTCTTGGTTGAATGATGACAAACAGTCAAATCAGTGGTGCGTAACCAACAAAGATAAGATAAGCTTAGGCACTACTTAATAATTCATTAGGTTGCAGAGAATCATGATGAAGGAATAATAATAATAATAATAATAATAATAAACAAGCATTTTTAAAAAAGCGCTCTATACAATAAAGTCTCCTAGAGCGCTAGCTAACTGTGTATAATATAGGGCCTAGCTCAATTCTCTGAAAAAAGGTGGCACTTCAGTTGTTTTTTGAAGGATGGAAAGTCATTTTACAGAGCAGGAGCAGCAACAACAAAATATCACGATCCATATTTTGATTCAAATTTGCTAGGTTGGAGAAGATGCTCCAAACTTATTCCTCCATGACATGGATGAGCCAGTCAATGCCATGGGTTTTCCTGTTTTTAGAGAAAGAGTTCTCATCTAGGTCTAGGCTAGCCCTAGGCCAAGTTTAGATTTGTGTTCTGACATTTTGAAGATTTTTTTTAATTACAGGTCTCTCTCTAATGAAAGACCCCTCTAATTAAAGACAACTTTTCTGTGGTCCTAAATTAACAAGTGTCTTTTATTCTAATTAGAGACCAAAGCTACTAAAGACCATGAAAACCCTGGTCCCAAAAGTGGTCTTTAATTGGAGGGAGACCTGTATTATTCATTATATTACGGCGCGAGTAGCAAGGTCTTTATAGGAGCGTTGTTTTGCCCCACCTGACATGTTATTGTACCGAATACTTAGTACGTCCCCAAATACTTGTGAAAAAAAGTGATTCAGGTTGGAATCGAACCCACGACCTCCAGATAACTAGACTGGTGCCATAACCAATAGACTACCAAGCTTATTTAGTCAAATCTAATGCAATGTATGATCAAGGTATTAGAAAAGAGATTTAAACATTGTTTATCAAATCATTTTACTGCTGGGAATTGTTCCGAATTGTAAACACGTTTGGTACAGTACTAGCCTTGGTTTTTTTTTTTCTTAGGGGAGAGAGGGAGGAGGAAGGTACTGTAATATGTATTTTTTTTTATTTGGCCTAATGCATGTTAATTATTAGAATACTGTACTTAAAATTTTGAACTCGCACGCACTGTTTTTATCCTTGCACATTTATACCTTGGTATTGAATTAAGAAAATGTATTTTTTTTTGTTTTTTTTTTCACACAGGTGTACAAGAGACTAGTCCAGATTGGCCGTGTGGCTTACATAAATCACGGAGAGGAAGGTGGCAAGTTGTGCGTTATCGTGGATGTGATTGATGGTGCCAGAGTAAGTAGGGCATGATGATGTTCCATGGGCCATATAAATATACATGTGTATAACTATGTATACAGTATATATACTGTACACGGTGGAAAAATCTAAATAGAAGATAAAAATCATAGGTTGTATTTGTTGATTTTGGTTTCTTCTAAAATATTTTATGCAGTGCATTTGTTTATAATGTCATATTGTAAATTTGTCATAACTGGTTTTCATCCTGCAAGCAGTGTATCAGTTAATAGTTAGCTGTGTAGTGTAAATGTAATTTTTTATTCAAATACAGCAACATTTATGTCTATGGTATTAATACATTAAAAAAATATATTATCATTTACATTTACATAAATCACGGATAGGCAAGCTGTGCGTTATTGTGGATGAATACTCCAATTTACAGTTGAACTTGCTTAAGTCGAATCCAAAATGGCATTGAAAAATTGTTTGACTTAGATAAAATTCTATCGGTAACAAACACACCAATTTGGTATGTAAAATAAAATCGACTTAAAAATTAATCAACTTAGGAAAGTTTAACTGTATATTAATATTGAAAGGCATAATGATTGGTATTTTAAATTTACAATTTGCTTATAGTTATGAACCTGTTTTGTTGTCTTTGTCAGGCACTTGTAGACGGCCCATGTTCAAATGTGAAACGTCAGGCCCTCAGCTTCAAACTACTCCGTCTCACGGACATAGTCGTCAAAATCCCTCACTCTGCCAGGACAGGAACTGTCAAAAAAGCATGGGATAAAGAGGAGGTGCAGAAGAAATGGGAGGCCACTGTCTGGGCACAGAAAATTGCAGCCAAGAAAAGGCGTACTGAGCTCACAGACTTTGAAAGGTTTAAGCTGATGAAGGCTAAACAAACGGTATGTTAATTCTGTATAAAGGTAAAGGTAGGAGAATAACCCATAACGCGCAGCATCATAGTGCTGAATTGGTATGGGCGTGGTCTTTAACTACCTAGCGGCCTCAACGAGGTTCTTATAGTGTTCGCATCATTCCACAACGGCAGGGACTAAATTGAACCATAGCATCTGAGTAACCCCCTACTCTTCCAAAAGATGCAATGTGTTCTTTAAATTGATGTGTACTTTGGACCTCTATTTGAAGTCCTTATCTGAGAAGACTTGATTCTACCAACAGAACCCTGGGCGAGGAGGGGCTGTTTATTTAAACTGAAAGACTTATATTAAAAGAACTTCAAAACAGCTTGCTAAAAACAGTAATCATTACAGAAAAAAGGAAAAATAAATGTAAAAACAATTTTTAAAAATAAAAAAATTACAAAATATTTAAGAAAAATAAATAAAAAATATGAAAATAGTAACTTTCAGGGGTTCTTTCTTTTTATTGACACTATTGTTGTGATGAAGAAAGAAGATTAATTTTCTTTTTGTAAACAGTAAATAATTAATAATAATATTGCTTCACAGTAATGTAGTTTATTACAAAATTACAAGTTTGTCAGTGATGCTTGTGTTTAATTTTAACAATAAATTACTGTACATAGAACTTATTTCTGTTTTGTTTTCTTTTATCATTCAGCGTTCGCGAATCATCAACCGTGAATTCAACAAACTGAAGAAAGCTGCAGGGGCTGCCAAGTAATATTTCTGTAGGCTTCTCGTTTTGTCGAATATAATTTGGTCAAAAATAAAAGTTATGTAAAATATCTTTAAACTTTTTTATTGTCTTTGTGATTTCTGTAGATTGGACAATACATTTATACAGTAGCTGCAATGGTAGACCGTCCAGGGCGGCAAAGGTATGCACTGAATACCCACTCCAGTACTGTACTCAAAAGAACACATTCTAATTTCCCCCTTGTATTTAGCATTTTCGAGCTTGTCTTTTATACAGTACAATACAGGCTTCAATAAAATTAGGCTTATTGCATTGCCACAGGGTATCTCAGCTTTTTAATATTTTCGCATTGGTTGGTTTTCAGTGATCCCTACACCCCATCATAGATTCAGGGAGCAATTTTCATCGTATTATTTAAAATGCTTGAGGGCACTGTACTGCTTCTTAGATTTTGTGTATATGCTCTCTTCTCAATAATTACTCTGCTTTCAAATGATGTAATTTAAGTTTCAATTAATTTGCATACATGATAATTATATAATTTGCTAATAATTGTTGGATAAAACAAAATCGGATCTCCAGTTTTAAAACATCACTGCTTACAGGTTGTAGCATAAAATTGAAAAGCTTGTTTAATCTTCGATCAGATACTGAAGAAATAGAGAGATGGTTGCAAGAATGTAGGACTGAAATTTGCATTAATTTAGAATTATTGTATTTCATAATAAAAAACAAGTTAATTTGGCCCTCTCAACTATAAGTCATCTGCAAGCTTCCTGTGTACTCTTCAAGAGATTTGCCTAAGTCCCTTAATTTATATTCTCATTCTGGACAGCACCAACAATGTTTTCAGTTGAGTTAGAGACGGGATCCATAAATAAAAAAATAGTGTGGGGCGCCAACTAAATTTTGTATGACACGCATTTAGCGCAATAAACAGATATATTTCAGAGTAACCCAGGCTAACGCTTCAATTACGGTCTGCCATTGAGAGTAGCTGTAAAATACAATAATGTGATGAGTATTAATGATGGAAAAAATACAAATTAAACAGTGTTTCAGTAATTATAACCTCCAATTTTATTTATGCACACATAATCAGAAAATACATTTATAGCACACATACGGTAATAAATAAACAAAAAATCAGTTGCTTGAGCCCAAGATAAAATACACATCAATTAGGGGTGTGAACAGTAGCAGTTACACCTTGTATACAGGGTTTTCTGTGGGTAAAGAGTTTTTTTGAGTTTTTGGTATGTTAGGTGTACAAATCCTCGGATCAGTGCCAGATTCAGAAATTTAAAGTAGTGGGGAACTGAGGGGGAGGGGATTTTACAGATGGAGGGTCTATACCACCTCAAGAAAATTTATGATTATGGTACATCAAGATGGCCAGAAATGGCACTTGCAGACTTAAAAATTTGAATATAAATTTTAAAAACCTTGGTGGGGGGAAGGGGAGCCCAGGCCAGCGGGGCTATAGAGACAGTCGGCAGATAGTATGGTATCGTTTTTATAATATCGAATATCAACAATAAATTTTCAGCAAATTGAAATGGGAAATCAAGGAAAATTACATTCAAATATTTTGAGTCTGACAGTGCCATTTTCGGCTATCTACAAGTGCCACAGACATAAAAACCTCGGCCCCAATCTATTTCAAATTTCCAGGACTGCCACTGTTTTAACGTTATTTTTGTGGCGAGTCATCTTCTATCTATATCGACAATGAGTAACACTTAAGCTGGGCATTCACTGCATCGTACAACGAATCCAACTCCGTTTTTTGTGAGCATACAGGGACAGACGGCAATACTGTCTGCTGATTGTCGGTGGAGGTCTGAACGGATCCTCATCATAAACGATCCGTTGCGCAAGTTGTGATTTTGCGTTCCTCATAGAATCGTGTCGGCCAACGACCACCGGGCAGCGAGTGCACTGCTTCAGATATGGCGGTCCGTGAAGACTTTACATGTCTTGAGAAGTCCATGAATGCAAAAAAGGTTGAGAACCGCTGGTCTAGCGCTTACACTGAGCAGGGTTAAATTCTTTGGCCGATGGCCATATGATGCAGTAAATGCCCAGCTTTAAATATTAACCAATTTAAGACTTGATATTCTCCGTTTTCTATTCAGCATCCTTGTTTTCAAAATCCTGGATATGCCACTGACTTTAACAACATTGTTTTAAATGAAGTACTCTATAGTCATATCATGATTGCTCATAAATCATTTTTTCTGTTGGCTGTCCACTGCAACTCTGAACTTCGCAGGAAATTTCAGAAGACTCAAGTACAAACAAAGCATCGCTAAGTACATAAAAAGGATTATGCATGTCACCCTCACACAGGTATGGCACCCGGGTGAATGATCGGAGTTTAAAGCCAGCTGGAATGAAGTATTCCGTAATGAGACTTTGTGCCTGCTCCTCCCATGTCTTCCCTTCCACTTCCATGTATTCTGATGGACAATTCTTGGATGAACCTGAAAATTATCAAAATGAGTATACTTTAGTAAATTTTATGTGAACTGAAAAATAATCAAAGAGGTGAAAAAAGGGTGATAAGCCCATTTCCCACAGTTTTTAAATATTCGTCAAACACCCTTACACGTGTCTTAAAAAAAATCAGTTGTACACCCTATCATAAAGTGATTTCCTCAGTATATTAGAATGATGATAAAATATGTATTATTTATCGTCTTTCTTTCTTTCTTCCAAGTCTTATACTGCTCTCCATTTACTTATCCCTTGTTCTTCCTTTTATTAGTTACTGCAATATTATCTGGGCAAACAATTACAAATCCAATTTTGAACAAATTCACAAGCTCCAAAAAAAAGCTGTCTGTATAATTTCAGATGCTCCATTCCTAACTCACTCTGCTCCACTTTTTTTGCTTTGAGTCTGTCGTCTGTTTTCGATATAAATATTTTACAACAATGTATCTTTGTTTGTGAAGTTACTAATTCCCTTCTCCCTACTAACCTTTGCCCCGTAAATAAAAATTCAGATTTACATCCTTACAACACCAGAATTCGTGACAACCTTCACCTTCCTCTACCCAAACTTACTTATAGTGGTTCCAAACTTTTTAATGAACTCTCCCTTGAAATTATATCGGCCCCTTCCAGGAAAATTTTCTCTTTTAAGGTCAAGAAATATCTCTTATCTAAATATGTTTAAATCAAATCAAAATCAAAGTTTATTTTTCTAATACCCTTATTATAATGTTGACAAATTTTTGCCTAATCAATTCTCCACTGCTCCGTGTTGTATCCGTGTTTGTATTTCTACTTGCTTCGTTCATGAATTTATTCCAAGAAATACATGCTTTTGTAATTATATGGGTCGCTCGTTACAAGTGCCACTTGATAATTGGTTTTTTCTTTTTGTCATTTGGCGTATACTTTTTGAGCAGTGCTCTCTTTCACACAAGTTTTTTATGAAATCTGGCTGTTTAAAGTTTATCATTTGTTATTATATTGTGTGAAGAAATAAATGTTTACACCGAATAAATCCATCCATCCATCCAAGCTGATATGACCATTAAAAAGTTGTACCCTTCTGACATTTTCAATTGAAAAATTAGCTGGCCAGATCAAAATAGTTAGGGAGTCCAGAGATGGCCCATGGGCTAGGGATTAAATACCAGGTTTGAAAAAGTATGATTTTGAAAAAAAAACTTGCAATCAACTTTACCAAACTCAACAAAGGGTCTGTAAGGTATCACAACAGCCAAAATCACAATTCCACCGGGATTCAATGCTTTGTGAATATTATGGAGTAATGTGATTGGTTTATCACATCTGTCAATCAAATTCAGGCAGCTTATCATATCGTAAGTACGGTTTGCCCATTCGTCAACACCTACAACCCTAGTATAATGCAACAAAAAAAATCATGATTAGAAAAGAATATTATTGTATACCATTACTTCGGTGGGTGACATTCCTTTTAAACAGTCTTTTTATCGTACCACTTATGAGCATCTAGATGTGCCTATTTGGCCTAAAAAATAAACTGTTTCCCCTTCTTTTTTTAAATGATAAAAAAAGGCGAGGGGGGGGGGTGTAAAAAGTTGGTTTTGATTACTCATCAGTTGGAAAAAACCCACAGTCAACATTTTGCAATGAATGTAGGCCTAAACTGGCAATATCTTACATCAGACAACTTCATAGGGCATCTGGTAAAAAATAAATATCAATTCAGTCACATTTTTTTTTGTAAAGCAAAAAGTGAAAAAAAAAAAAAAAACGTTTTTAAGCTTTTCTTTTGCCGCCCCTAGTTCTTCAGTGAGTTAGGGGCAGGTGATGAGGGCAAACAAAAAATTTTTTTTTAGTCCTTATTAAAATATGCTATGAACAGGGTGGGTCTTATGTGAATTTGGACAACTTTCATGAACTTTGGCCTTTCATCAGAAAACTTTGATTATTTGACAATGGATTTCTGATGCCACATAGTGGGCTCACTTGACCCTGTTTTTGGAAGGTGGAAATTAGTCGAGGCACACAACATATCGACTTGTGACAGTCATGGAAATATTTGAAAATTAATTTACAGTAACTATTTTAGGGCAGTATGCTGGTCTCCAGTACTGTAGTTTACACCTTTGGCCTGAGCCTCAGGCTTCACTACAGTGCACCACTGAGGTAGGTGTAAAAGTAAATGAATGAATGAATAAATAACAATTCTAAAAATGAAATTCTTACTTGTAACCCTTCTCCTGCAGACGCCATTGCATCGTGGTCGACATTTCAGTTACAATAACCTCTTGAAAATGAGGTGCTAAGTACTTTGTCACCATCCCGTCCCCTGCCCCTAAATCTAGCATAGAACTGGCTTTCCAATTCTTATCTATAGAAGCCAAAGTACGAAACTGCTCCGACGAGCACACGAACATCGAGCCTCTCTGGAGCAACCTGTAAATAATTGAATGACACAGTAATTGGTTATAATTTGGAATTTAAAGCTATGCACCTGCTGCATCATCAAAGATTCGGTTGAGAGCGTCTACGTAACGAACGCGCACGAGATATTTGTAATCTTGTGGTTAGATCAGCAATCATAAGAATTGTATATAATTATTGTTTCATAAATTTTCGAAGTTTCATCTGGTGTAAATGTAAATGTATTAATAGGAAAAAATTTGTTTAAACAAAACACAATTGATGTTCAACTGAGTAAGCTTTTGTCAATTGTGTTTGACAGTCAGATTCAGAGATTAGTCATCACCTAGGCATCATAGTTTTGTCCGGGAGATTCTGTGGGGGTCAGGGGAAAATTGCCCTGGAGCTGGAACGTTTTAGCATGTATTTCATTTTATAATTATTTAGATGGTTTTTATTCCAAGATGGTTTAGTTTACCAGAGTGGGTCCCTAATGATCATCTTCGGCTGGATGGACCACCCTCATTAAAAGCTGTTGAAATATTAATAAATAAATAAATTGTATTCAATTCAATTTGATTATGCTCCAAATACCATCAAGCTCCAGGGGCGGATTTAGGGGAGGGGGGAGGTTAAAAAAAAGGAAAAAAAGAAAGAAAAAGAAAAAACGATAGCCCAGAACACCTCAAATGTAATTTTCGGGCGTCTAAAACACAGAAATTTCGCGGGGGATCCTATTTCAGTCTTGTCTCGATCGGCCCAAATTTCGCCCCCCCCCATCCCAAGGTACCATAATAAATTATACAAGAAATACAGTAACAATTTGAATAACAGTAAAATCAAAACAAATAAACAAAATAAACATTTTTCAATATACAATATAAACATAAAAAAACTCCCGCCCCTAAAGTATAGATAGAATTTTAAAAAACATTTAAAAAATTATTGTGTTGGCTATAAACGACCGACCCAAAAAGTATGAAATTGAGATTCAGCATTTTAGGTTCAAATGAGGTTCAAAAAAGGTTGAAGTTTAATAATAATAATAATAATCATTTATTAGCTGCCCTTCCAAAAGAGACCAGAGCGCCGTACACATTAAAATGAAGTTATCAATACACATGTAAAAGGCAAAAGCAAATCATTAAGGCTAATTAATACACTAAATTGATACTTACCCGTTGATTGTAGTCTGTGACATAAATAAACTAAGGAATGTTTTAGCGATGGCCTTCGATAGTTGAGTAAATACCCAGTCTGATTGCTCGTAGCAGCCATCTAAGAACTTGTTTGTTTCATCATCTTTGTGAGATCTTACAAACATCTTCTTGATTTCATTTGTAAATAATTCATCATTGCATTCATACCACTGCAAAGTAAATACATTAATAAATTCTATATCTAAGCTTCTGATTTTTAATACAAGATATAAAGAAAAATTAATAGTAAATGCTGCAAAACTAAATTCCTTCCATCATCTAAAATAGTCGTCAAATCGCTTAAAGATGTATTGTTCCTTTCAAATCATTTTAAAATTAACTTGCCCAATTTGAAGTACTGTAACATTCAAATTATCAACTTGTAACAGAGAAATTAGTGTATTTGACAAATGTTTACCCATTATTTTACAGCAAACAATGATAGAAACACTTCCAGTCACTGGAAGTGTTTTATTACCTTTATTATAATTATCGAGTTTCAAAATCCTGGTACACATATTTAATTAAATGTCTATGCTCAAGTTAATAATTTATATGTTACTGCAAGATGAGCAAGTTATTTTCAAAATTATTTTTTATGATTTTTTCCATTTTCAAGGGACTCACATACTAACCATCCAAAAAAGTTGCAAACCGCTTAAAACATACAATCATTAATTTTTTTCATATTTCCCTGATATGTCTATATCCAATAAATCTATAAAAAAAAATGATACTACTACTACTGCCCCACTAGCACCATCAATGTAATAAATAGTAACATATATTATATCACATAGCTGTTAACACTGTTACATAATACTGTATATACATCATCAAAGAAAGGTAAATACAGTGTTTGAATAAGAGCAATTTATTTATAGGACAACATTCGTTGGGAGCTATGCTAAACGATGCACAATCATGTCCTTTATTCAAACACTGTATTTACCTTTCTTTGATGATTTATTTATATCTATCTATCTATCTACATATACATATATATACATATATATATACATATATATATATATATATATATATATATATATATATATAAAATAAGTAAGCAGAACAGAAATAACATTCTTCACAAGGTGACTACTTTGAAGCATATATTTTATTAAAAAACCAAATTTTCCGGAGCGCCTGCTCCCCACTATTACCATGCAATCTGTCTCTTATACACATCTAGATGTGTATTACTACATAGTATATATATAATATATATATATTATATACTATGTAGTGATAAACAAGATGACGCTTGGTTACATATACAGTATATGGTTTAATATCTGTATATATATGTTTTCGTGACCTACTGAAAAATATTGACAGCACATTTTTGGGTCCCGACCTACAGTTTGGATGCGCTGATGATGATAGATGATAGATCATCCAATCCAATGCGTGACGTCCTAAGTAATTGAATCAACTAAAACAACTGGCTCCTGTGCCTCATCCCGGTTCCAACAAGGAGGCCAACTAATCAGTCTAGTTAGTAGGTACATGGTGGTAGAAGTGTTGTGTGATATATACAAATAGACCCAAGGTTTATTCTTACTTTGTACGCGTAACTTTCAACTTTACTCCTATCAAAATGGCCTTGGATGTGTTTAGTATACATCACCCTTGCAAGGGGGCTGCGGATGTGTACAGCTCTGTTCATCGATATTGAATTTGATTCGGCTTGGGCTTGGTCTGCGTGTAATAGGGTACACACGACCGTGGTAAAAAACAACAACAGTGTTCCGAATTCTTTATCAATCATGAAAAATAAAACATATCACCAGTATAAACCATATAAAACAACATTTAAATGTATTTAGTAACTTGTCTTCCGCCTCCTCTTCTTGACATTGAGTGAGTGACCGACCATCCTGTTTGTGTTTTGTTTCTGAGTCACAAATGTTACAAAATTGTATAACCGCCCTCTTTGTGTAATTATTGTTCCCGGCCATAGTTCCCGGCCGACTACCTACTATCATGATAAATTATTTCATTTTTTAAAATAATAAATGATTATGATAATGATTCCGATTCCGATGGCTATTCTTACAATAGTTGTGATATTATGATGGTGATGATTATGATAATGTAGTAATAATAACAATATTTAAGTATTAATCAACATTTAATAAGTTTGCCTCCATCAATGAGTGCCAATATAATGATAATAAGAATGAGGACGAGGTTTATACCCCAATAAAACATTAAAAATAAAAAGCGTTATAAATAAATAACACAAAAATGTTAGATTTCATATAATCATACCGTGTATTTCGAAATAAATGATGGAGCCAATAAAGATCATCTGGAATTATGTTAAAGGCGTAGCTGAATTAATTATTAACCTTCATATAAACATGGACTAAAACATTTCCCTGATACAAGAATACTAGGCCTACATCCATTCCGACCTTTAACGTCACTATTGGATAGGCTTATCTTAATAAGACTTCTTCGAATTGAACCTTGTTCGAAGCAAGAAACCATGTATTTACCCAGTCCACTCGTATATATTATTCGTGTGGGAACTTTTAAACTTAAATAATAGGCCTCAGCTATGGAACGCCGTTAGTATCTTCGGTTATGTGCAAATGACTAAACCACATAACCTCATGACCAAACAGTACGTACATAATAGAGTGTTTGCACATAACCGAAAATACTAACGGCGTTCCATATAGCCTACTAGTTTTGTTTGATAGGCTTACCGAATGACAATAAAAATACATTATCCTGTCGTTTCTATTATAGGCCTACTTTGTTGAGTAATATGACGACAAAATAAGAACCAGAAAACGCAAAATACATATTATCGTATTATTATTATTTATTTCTTTTTCTTTTTTTATTTATTTATTTATTTTTATTTTTTTATAAGAACACATTTATGAAAACACTGGTTGAAATTGAAACAAGTTGAGGCTGAGCTAGAATATCAAGGCTTTTATTTGAAGAATAGAACACAACCAACAAATCTAATTTGTACCTTATTTACAGTTGGTGTGACATGCCCTCTATAATACAGTAATATATTTCTTACACTAATAATTTTGAAAAGTGTGTAAAAATAAGAACAAAATACAAACATTTTGAGTCTGAAATCGGCAAAAAATAAGAACACTTAGCCTGAGCAAAATGTTGGTTCTTATTTATTTAAAAATGTGTACCAGAATACGGGCTACACGTTTAGTAAACTGATGATCCGACGTTCAATTCTTTCACCAGAACATTTTTAACAATGATTTCAGTAACCATTAAATCCACATACCAGAGCGATGAGGATCATATAATTATACGTAACGGTACTAATTTCATACCTCCATGATTTGAGCAAGGCTAGACAGAATTATTGCACGATTTTACATCCAGGTACCTGCACAAGGTCACAATATTACGCAAACACGGATCTACAAAAGTATTGAACTACAAAAAACGAGGAGTAGGTTACGGTACATTACAAAAGCAACAAAACACAATAAATTCATTAACCATGGTAGTCATATACCAGAGCAATGAGGATCATATATATATATATACCCACCCACCCACACATTATTATTATTATTATCACCTGTAAAAAAAAAGTCACACACACAGACCCACCCACCCACACACACAATAAAATCCCTTTTTTCATTTCATTTACTTGTACGGTAAACTCGCCAACAGCTATTCGCAGTTAGTATACGCGATATAATCGAAGTCGAGCACGGTAGGTAATACTGTGAACACGGTAAACGTGTACGTATTTTATATTTAAGGATTCAATGTAGAATATAAGACAATATAGCATAGTGGAAATAAGGTCCCCCGTGACCATTTTTCGGGGACCAAGTTTTCTCTACTGATTTAGCGTCTCTAGGGTATAAATAAAAAAAATGAGGGTGGAGGAAAACTTCCAGAATATGGGTGGAACACATTTTTGGCGATCATTTTTTAAAAGTTAGAATGGCAGCCATTTTGAAATTCAAGATGGCGGCCATGAAAATCGTTGAAAATCGAATATTTGGTTTTTATAATTCCACCTCTCCTCGATTAAAAATGGTAAATTTGGTGTGTATTCAAAAGTTATTGGGCTATCCGATTCCCAAAAATAACAACATAATTATTTAAAAAGCTAATGTGACAGCCATAATTATTTCCAATTTAGGCCTAGCAGTCACCATTATGTCGACACTTTGGCTGATAAAATGCAAAATGTGACAATTTTCAGAATTGAATAGTACTATTACCATGCAATAAAACGTGTTTTGTTAGATAAACAACTATGGGAACTATCACTATTGGCTTATAACAACTTTGTAAACTTACTGGAATAATTTGGCGAGTTGATTGGCCGAGCGGTTAAGTCAGGGGCACCGTATACACCTTCATCTCTAATATCGGCGCTGGTTCGAACGGCTCACTCGCCAGTGGTTCCGGTGGTGGAACAAGTTTTCTCGGATAAGGACTTTAAACCGTAGGCCCAGTGTACGCATTTGGCTCGTGGGCACTTTAAAGAACCCAGTACATCATTCGAGAAGTGTAGGGGGTTACCCCGGTGTACTGGTCCATTAAGACCCCTGTTGTTAAATGGATATGCCACTAGGACAGTGATTAAGTTCACTTATTGGCATATACTTGGTGCTCGTGCCTAAAGAAATGAATTGAAATGAAATTCAAATGGTTAACACAATTCGTGGCACTGTAATGGTTAATTTTGTTGAGCACCACACCTCTTTACAAACCTGAACATTCCCCACCATCTTTTGTCCGACGCCATGACGAGGTCGTGAGACTAACCAATCTTTAAATCCAATCAAGTTGAGGTTGACATTCCCTAATATTGTGGTCTAAAAGTATAGATTGTGGATGCCCAAAAATCTCATCTGGCAATCCCACCGCCCTCTCAAGGGGTAAAGTTGGTGTATAAATTCATACCTGTAAATTTTGAAAATGTGCTGCAATGCAACTACCCCTATTCCAACCCCATGCAGGGACAGATACAAGATTGAAAGTTATTGGAAGTAGTCTAGATACAGTACCCTCTATTTCAGGTCCATTGTACCATGATTGAAAAAGTCAATGCGATGCGTACATTCATATAATTCATAATTATCATTATATATTTATTTCAGAAAGTAATGGAATTGAGAAAAAGTGGTCCGGCCATACCCGGTGCGATTCCGACGGCCCTGTCAACATAGTAGACGATACATAAATGATATGTAAGTAAACAGAACTGAAATAAAATAAATATAGTGAACATTATTGAGATCAAGATTAGAAGTGAAACTTATCCCACTTTGACCCAATAACTATACAAAAATAGCATATATAGGCCATATAAATACATATATATACATATATGTATATGTATATATGTATATGTATATATTATGTATATAATTATATGTATATATTATGTATATAATTATATATACATAATATAAATACTACTTGCTCATTCCACTCGCCCGTCGACAAAGCATTATGGTAGTCGTTCTTTCTCTTGGGCTTCTGTCTTTCTTTGGAATGCTCTGCCTATTACAATCCGACAGGCAACTTCCATTGATGATTTTAAGGCAGCTTTAAAAACTCACCTTTTTAACTTGTATTTTTCTTAATTTTTTTCCCCCGAATTTTATTTTTACTGTTAAGCGCATTGAGGCTTTAGCATAATGCGCTATATAAGCCAAAATTATTATTATTATTATTATTAAACTGTTCTATACATTTTTTACTACCTTAGCGACAAAATATTAATATATATGAAAATTAACATTAACTATTTAGCAATGTTTTGAAATTCAGCTTATATGTTTTCCTAATTTTTCTGTCGGATCTATTTTCTACAACTGCAGAAGATTAACTGGGGAAACATTGCTGGGCTCCCTCTTTTAATTTAATAGAAACAGTGAATCCAGAGATTCCTAGCCCATCATTATTTTTTTTAAAGCTTCAATTTCCCTGCCCTCCTCCCTCCCCCGCTTTTGGAAAGTTAAAAAGAAAAAAAAAGAAAAGGAAAAATTGTTCGCTCAAAACGCCTCAGAGGTTTTTTCGGGCGTCTAGAAACACACACACACACACACACAAAATAAAAAAAATCGCGGGGCATCATTTCCCCCTCGCCTCTAGGGTATAGT